AACCGGCCTGTTTACGTGGGGATGAGCATCCTCGATTTATCTAAACACCTGATGTACGACTTTTACTACAACGAGCTTAAGAAACAGTACGGCAACAGGTGTGAAGTGCTGTACACTGACACGGATTCCCTGCTGATGGAGATTCGAACCGAGGACGTGTACGAGGACATGAAAAAACACCTCGATTTGTATGACACCAGCGACTACCCCAAGGACCATGCCATACACAGTACGGTAAATAAAAAGGTCCTAGGTAAGATGAAGGACGAGTGTGCTGGCACTCCCATAGCCGAGTACATAGGTTTGAGGCCTAAGATGTATTCCATACTGAAGGCCGACAATGGTGAGATCCGGAAGGCTAAGGGGGTTAAGAAGTACGTGGTTAAACAACACATCAAACACGCCAGATTCAAGGAAGCCCTGTTCAAAACCCGTACCTTTAGACATAAAATGAACACACTTAGAAGTGATGGGCATAAGATATACGGACTGACTATAAACAAAACGTCTCTGTCGCCGATGGACACTAAACGTTGGATAGCTATTGATGGGATAAACACGTACGCGTATGGACATGAGAAAATTGAACCAAGAGAGAAAGTTTGAGGCTATTTACTATAGCCCACGTGGATACTGGAAAGGCGCTAGCTGTAGATAAGCTGGCTAAAATGGCGCTGAGAGTACCCCGGAGGAGGCCAAAGCGTGGCTTGAAAACAAGCCCTATGGCAGATCTATTTACCGGCACCATGCGCCACGTGCCTAGAAGGAGGTTCGGTATTAACATACCTAATAGCGTTCACCAGGCAGACCTACTGTTCCTACCCCACGACAAGAGGTACAAGTATGCCTTAACCGTAGTGGACGTAGCCAGTCGCTACAAGGAAGCCGAGCCCTTGACCGCGAAAGATTCTGCCCAGGTAGCCAGAGGATTCGAACGCATATACAAACGCAGTCCGCTGACGTGGCCAACAGAGCTGCAAGTTGACCCCGGGCGGGAGTTCATGGGTGTTGTGTCACACCTGTTAGACAAACACGATACAAAGGTCAGGCGTGGTACGGCTGGAGCCCATCGCAGCCAAGCCATAGTTGAGAGATTCAATAGGACTTTGGCTGAGCGCTTATTCGGACATCAGTATGCGAGGGAGATGGCCACCCCGGGGAAGCGATCGACTGAATGGGTCGCAAGGTAACCTAAGGTGGTGTCGGCAATCAACCATGAAGTCACCCGTCTCACCGGCAAGAAACCGGTAGACGCTATCAAACTGAAATCAGTGGTGTCCGAACCAGCTGCTCCATTGCGTGGGAAGGAGAAACAGATACCAGATAGGGCCCTAGTTAGGTATCTATACCAGCCGGGGGAACACGAGGGTGACAGCCGTAAGCGAGCCACTGACCCAATATGGTCAGTCAAAACTTACAACATAGATAAAGTGGACATGAAAGCAGACGAGCCTAACTTGTACTACTTGAGGGATGGGCCAGGGAGAGGGTTTGTAAAAGCGGAATTATTGATCGTACCGTACGGCACAGTGTTACCTCCTGTCAACACGGCATAGCGGCAATCCCAGGATATCACCCATACCCCCGGTAGCGGGGTTCGTACCCCCAAACTTTTTTATAGTAGGGGTAATGGTAGCAAGAGCTAAGGGTCCAACCAAAGCCTTACTTGTGAAATAAGGCTTTGCAGAGGCTTTGGTTGGAACTGGTCCAGAACCCCCATTGTATATACTACTCTTCACACATCAAATTCGAGTTTCACAACACCGAAAGTTTGATGGAAAAGTTGGTGAGATTGGAGACCGAGCCTATTTCTCGACAACAGTTTGACAACTCTGAAATTGGTGTTGGTGGCGAGTTGTTGGAATGTTCACACTCTCAAACTTGAGTTTGACAACTTGTGGTGTCAAACTTTAGTTTGCCGTGTGAAGGCAGCTTAAGTCCTCAATGTCTGCTGCTGGGGGGAGGAACCTAACAGATCAGGTTAAGTGATTTTGATTCCGCATCATTGTACCCCAATGGCTCACATCATGATCCACTGGAATATGAGGTCTAGTATTCAAAGGCCTCTGTCATATCACTTCAATATGGTTGAATGTGTCATTGCCAAGGAAAACCCATAGCACTCAGATTGTGATAAGATTGTTTTAGAATTCTCATTCCAAAATATTACAGGGTTGACAAGTAAACTTTGATTCGAGGCATCAACACAGCTGCATCATGGTATCATGTCTTCATTAAAACAAACAATTTTGCTATAATATTTTATCATCAAAGACGTGTGTTATAAAATAAACTCGAAACACTCTGACTAATATAAATATTCACTTTTAATCCTATTTTTGTTTTGTACAATTGTATACAATGTCGACACTACTCACCTTGATATAGCCCCAATGTGGCCACATTAAAAAAGCAACGAAAGTCATTGAATATACGATTTATCAGTTTGTGACTGACTTTGACTCGACTGTCTCCCCTACCGCTTTGATGAAATCTTCCTTCTTCTCATCAAAATCAACTGGGAGCTTCCTGCCTGCTTTTGTGGCCTTTTCACAAAGTGTGTAGCGATTTAGGAATGAATTCCACCACGACCGGTCTAGCTTAATGGGACCTCCATTTTCCTCAAGCAAAGTCCGGTTCTCATGTAACACTATACCCCTAGCAGTAGCCAAAATAATGTTTCGACTGATGATTCCACCCGCTGCTCTAATCTCCTACACGTGTTCATATTCAAGTCGGTCTAACTCCCCTAACCGTAGTGGATGGTCACGTGACTTATGGTTGAGTTTGGTGATGTCTTCATCAGTTTTAACTCTACTTGCTACAATGTACGCTTTCTTCATAACACGTACGGCACTTTCCCCTAAACTAACATCTAACACCTTACTTAAGTGCTTTGTGCACGTGTGTTGCCATGGCCTACTGCATACTTAATAGTCCTGGCTCTTGTCTCGGGTAGGTAGTGGTAATACAAAATAGTGATATTTACAAAAAAACGGGTCCACATGCATTTCATGCCAAACTACAGACCCTTGCACTCGCATTAAATTCGTGACACATTAATTTCATGATTTACAGTATATCGATAGGCCATTGAAAATAAAAGTTTTATCATGAATGAGAAAATGCTGTTGAAATGTTCATTCATGCATGAATATTCAATGTTCAGATCTGCAGAACAATTCTGGTTTCAATTAATTCGATTTTACACCCTAGTTTTTTATGACGATGCGATTACACTCTTTCCGTTCAGTTTCTCCACAGTACATTAGTGAAGCAATTTATTTTACATGCGGTTACCTTGTTTACACCATAGGAACCTGGGACTGTTTAAGGTCTACCTTTTATTATTGTGACAAATTTTCCATTTACATTTTGTAAATTTAGGTGGTTTGTTAAAAATAGAGCTGGCAACTAACAAGATGATGGTAATATGTAATATCTATATACCAAAACTAAATTGTCACAGACAATTGTACACAACATTTGAAATGGCTGAATTTCCTTAACAATTACCCATAAACCCCCATGTGAACACACTTTTCACACAACCATTGCAAACATACCACGGCAGCAAACACTATAATGTGTAGAAAACAATGCGATTCAGCTTTATTTATTCTTAACACATTGGTAAAATTCAAACTCAAAATCCTCAACAAATGTCTCCTGAGAGACTCCAAGGAGAACTTAAAGAGGATGTTGTGATGGATAGTGGAAATTATAGTGATCATGGCATTGTAAATAGAAGTATTTAAATTAAAAATATAAAACCATACAAAATATAAATGAAAATAGAATGAGGTATGAGATGAATTGAATGGAAGGTCAGTGGCCATGACCTGTATTTTTGACAGCTCTTTGACATCAGGGATCGGACATATATAATAAATGTTGATAACGAATGTTATTCCTGTTGACCAACGCAGCTCCCTGATAGTCCAGGCATGCTTACAATGAGGATCCTTATGGTAGCTGTATTACCTTGCAGATCTGCAAGATGTTGGCCAGATTATAAGATGCTTCATACATTGAAGCTAAAGGTGATAAAATTGATCCCAGATATTCAGTTTAGTCAGTATGTATACATACTCAGATGTTTCCCAATTCCTGCAAGAAAATGTGGTACTTAGCAACCAAGCTGATGACAAATCCTAGCTCAATTAGTACCACATGTCTGGCATCTAATTACAGTTATGAATCCCTGTGAATGACCATCAAGCTATTGGCTATGCAATCCCTCTCCATATTTGTGACTACAGTGCAATGGTACAGTGCTGGTAGAACTTCTTGTGCACATCTTCAAAAACATCTCTGGAAAGCCGAGAAGTCAGTCTCTATCATCACTGAATATAGTTTGATGCCAATGACTGACAGTGATACTTTGTCAGCTCCTTTCTCAATAGGGGTAGCTCATCACGCTAAAGACTCGGGTTCGATTCCCCACATGGGTACAATGTGTGAAGCTCATTTTTGGTGTCCCTCGCTGTGATATTGCTGGAATATTGCTATAAGTGGCGTAAAACCAAAACTGACTCACTCACTCATTGGTGCCATGTTTCCTGCTGGTGACATCATCCAATATGTTTTTCTGTGATGTTACTGTTTTCATACCAGTGGCCTCTATCATGAAGTTCTTAATACAGACAGAAACTTATGGTGCTGTTTGTTGTTTTATTGGTAGGATTAGCTATCAAGTGTATCTATTTTAGCGATCAAAATGTTAATGTTATTTCGGATGCGGAGCTCCTCAATCTGTTCAACCTGCCCCAATCGTTGAGCCATTAATGCCAGACATCTGGCTTCCACATATGTAGTAATACCACAATAGTAGACTTTCGATCTGTATAACCTTCTGGAAACAAATCAGGTAAGATATTTTGGTGTTCCATTTCTTGAGAATGTATTACATATGAGCTTTATACAATTTGTACACATATAATAATTTAACTTGATTGGTCTTTGTTTACAAGTATCCTTTATGCATTTTCATATTCAAGAACAAGGAAAAGAGAAACAGGACAGATCCCATGGAAGTCATCAGCTAGTCACTTTCACTCTTTGGTCGGACAAGAAAGAATGTTTCGAGAGTGCGAAAAGAAAGCTGAAGCAATTTTGTACCAGGGAAGAGATAAAAACTTGTATGAAAATCCCGAAAAGCATTACTGTAAGTAATAAAGTTTGTGCTTGTGAGAGTATTCCTTTGTGTATTTGCACAATTAGTCACCGGCAAGTAGGTCCTGTGTTTGTTTCGGTGAACACTTGCCTTGCCTGTGCATGTGTTTGTGCAGACACCTGTTATCATCATTCAATAGTCATTTATAAACAAATGTAATGATTTTCTTGGAAGTGCACTGTACTTGTAGCAGAAATGTCTTATTCATGACTATGGAAAGTGGGTGTGTTGGGGGTTGGATGTTTTTGTGGAAACATTTATTTTCCAAACCTGGTACATGTATTAACCAAGGGTTAAAGCTGAAGTGGTGCATTTTGCTATTTAGGAAATTCAAGAAAATGAACTTATTTCCTGTTTCATGGCAACAAGTTCGACTTTGTTCATAGCGTTTTTGTCCACCAGTCCGGACCATATCTCCAAAACTAATAGGTATTCTTTCATGGAACTGTGTGAACACAAAGACCAGGGCCTAGATTTTCAAAGCTCTCTTAGCGTTAGGATAATTTAAGTTAATGTTAATGTATGACACTTATGACTATCTTACCGCTAAGAGAGCTTTGAAAATCTAGGCCCTGGTTGTCAAATAGTCACCTTGTGCTACTGAGTTGTTAAGCAGGGATTTACATGCAGTACTGTATTTGAGGGTCACTGGAACTCATTTTCAGGGGTCCTTGACAACAAAATGGGGGTCCCAAACACTTAAGTATTATTATTGATACTGTTATTGTATTGTGCATCATGATCATCACATTGTTACTGTAATTAAATTGCAAATAATACCATAACCCAGCTAGTAGCAAACTCAGTGATAACTTATTGTCACTTGATTGTAATTTTTACAAAAAGTATTTGGACTTTTTTCTGAGTCCCTGTGGACGCGCTAATAAATTTTGTTGCGTCCATTGTCAATTTGCATGCGTGTAGGACGCAGGAATTTGCGTTCTGTAAATCCCTGGTTAAGAATTTATGTTTTGTCCATTTCCATTGCAGCAAGTTTGATTTTGACTCTATTCTTAGCATTGTGTTTGTCAGGATCATATCTCAAAAGAGAACTAGGTATTCTTTCATAAAACTGCTGCCTTTTTTTTTATTAGGGATTTTTAAGATTTGTATCTTTTCCTTTGAATTTGATATTGGTGTGTACCTGACATAGAAATACAAAGTTACAAATCCCAGTTATATGGTATTGTTTTGATGGTTCAATAACTACTCCTGTATTTTGACTGACAGATTAGACATTCTCTCATCAAGTTGGACTTAAAGTAACTGTCAGATGACTTGTTCTTTCTAATTCATTGGGGCCAGGGGATTTGTCAACTTCTGGTGACTCTTATTTGAATTTCCTTACAGAAAGATGATATTTCCACCGTTGGAAGAGAATATCCAAATGCTCGACTCTGCCTTAGCCGAGATGGAAGTGGGATAGAACTGGAGGGAAAACCGAAGATGGTGCTTGATGTTATGGTTGCCTTTTACAAACATTTCCAGAGCAACTTCGATAGTGAGTGTAAAAGAATTGTGCTTGAATATTAGCAAAAACATAATATGATCTGTCATGTTTGATCTTCTTAAAAATCATTGATCCTAACATGAATCTTGATACCTGTATGTTGAAACAATGTTTAAAGGTCACATGCAATGCAAAACACAACTTTGCAGATTCTGATACCTTTCGGTATGGACTTACAGTAACAAGTTATCAGAAATGCAAATTCAACTTATAAAGTTGAAAAATAATGCGCTGAAAAACCCCCGAGAAATCTTAGTTCAAACGATTCACAAATTTCACCCCAGCGCTGGGGTTGGAGTTGGAGAACAAAAGATGTTTCTTGTGATTACAAGCATCTTGGGTCTGCAGTAATAAAAATACACTGGTCCCATACTTGGTTGCAGATTTGGAAACCAAGTTTTCAAGAAAGTGTAGCATTAGAAATACTAATTTCATTGTTAAAAGTTGCTCAGCTTGAAAACTGAAATGTTTTAATACATGTCTATGGAAACAGAAAACTATGTTGATTGTGATAAGCAGTCTCTGTCACAGACAAAACTCAATGTCTGTTTTATTGACACCTATGTGTCTGCCTGCCTGTCTGCTAATGACAATATGCAATACACAACTTCGATCACTGACCACCTGCAATTTGAACTTAACACCTATCAGGCCATACACCATAAACAAAATGCATTGATTTATGGCTCATGCCCCCGAGTTCTGTCTCTGTCACATTATGTAATTACACAGGCAGGCAGGTGTGATACTTGTACACATGACATGTTATTATGTCTGTGGGTTGCAAACAAACTGCATCCATTTTTCTCGGATGACCGGATCGGATGGAAACCGGTGCAAACTCAGATTGTCAGTTTCAAGTCCTGCTTTGTACTTGGACGAACGACAGTTTCCAGCCACGCAGTAGTTCACCATCTCAGTATTTGTTGATTGGATCGAACGCAAATGCAGAGAGCATGTATTTACAAAACCCAACATCTTTATACACTTTTTTTAAGGATGACACCTTTTTTTATTGTATATGATGCGACGTTTCGGTATGGATTCTTATATCATTGTCACTCTTGCTTGACAATGGTGTAAGAATCCATACCGAAACGTTGCATCATATACAATAAAAGAAGTTGTTATCCATATAGAATCTTACTTTCTTATTACTCACCATACTTCTAAAATGTCAATCAAACAGATCATCTCTATATACACACACAATGAGCCCTCAGGGTAGCGGCAAATGAACCAGCCAATGAGAGACTTCTTTACACTTGCGTGCACACCCACCCGCTCTGACTGGGTTCGATCTCCCGGGTGCTTCGTTAAAGTATGTTTGAGGCAAATGAAGCATTCAGTTCTTCCAGTACTGTTAAGTGAGTGAGTTTTTAGCAATAATCCAGCAATATCATGACTGGGGATACCAGAAATGGGCTTCACACACGGCACCCATGTGGGGAATCAAACCCAGGTCTTCAGCGTGACGAACGGATGCTTAACCCCTAGGCTACCTGACTGCATAATACTGTTGCATATACTCTTTTAAAAAAAGTAGGGGAACTTCATTTTTAATTTATGATTGAAAAAATTGGGCCATATATATGGGAGTCAATCAATGTGGATATGATAATAATGAATGTTTTGAGAGTGCATCACCACTTGCACTTCCTTATGACCATAGTTGTTTGTACAGTAATCGCTCCTGAAAGATCATTGGTGTTATGACGTGATATTTGTGAATATGTACGATTTATATTTTCAAACAAAAAACGGCTAGAAACAATTACTAACAACTGTGTGATGCAAGATGATTGTCAAAAATGATTATCTACAGTGATTTATCGACCTTTATGAAAACTGTCAAAATCAAGAATGACACCCCATGCACATGTATGGGGCTACTGCGTTGTACACGTGCATATCATGCATTGTGTTTATTGGTGATGATAAAGAGAAATGGTGGTGCATTCATAAGATACCTGTCTTTGAGAAGTTTGTTTACGCTTATAATTCCTATCCAGATTGAAAGTTCAGGTTCCCCTACTTTTTTTTAAGAGTATATTTGAATTTGGCAAATGTTCCAGAGTGTGATGCATGTGTAGTCTGCAAGACAAATGTTTTAAGATGAAGTTTTGAAATGATAGAACGATGCAGTATAAAATCCAAAGATATCCAAGAATATGGCTTCAGTATGTATATTTAACTGTACACAAATAAACCATTATCAAATGCCTGAATGGGAAATAACAAATCCATTGAACTTGATATGAGTTTTGGACCCGTGAAGGTCCGGGTTAGAATGAACCTTCAGCAACCCATGCTTGTCGTAAGAGGTGACTAACGGGATCGGGTGGTCAGGCTCGCTGGCCTGGTTGACACATGTCATCGGTTCCCACTTGCGCAGATCGATGCTCATGCTGTTGATCACTGGATTGTCTGGTCAAGATTCCATTATTTACAGCCCGCCACCATATAGCTGGAATATTGCTGAGTGTGGCGTAAAACTGAACTCACTCACTCACTGATATGAGTTTTGGAGATCAGAATTTGCATGTACTACCTGTGCAAGATCATGTCTCAGTAAATGCAATTAACATTACAACTGTTTAAATGGAATATCCCTTTATACTACTAATAACACCAGTGAGTGATTGAGCTGGCTTTTATGCCACTTTCAGCAATATTCCAGCAATATCAAGACAGGGGACCCCAGCAATGGGCTTCACACATTGTGAGAAAGTTATGATAAACAAAAATTACATTTATTGACGTTTGAAATAATTTACCAAGTGATATGGTGGAAAGATGTTAGGCAAATGTTTGAGTGTATTAAATTATGTTTAATATGACAAAATAACTTATATTATTTCATGTTTTGTTCCACTAGAGTGGCAACATCATGTCAATGAGGACGTAGAGAGACGAATTTACTATTCCAAACAAATCCACCAGAAAAACTCTCTGCAACAGTCAGTTATGGCAACAAGTTATGCAATCTGCCTGGCAACACAAAAGAAACTTCTCACTTTGGCTTATTTCCAAACCAACAATGTTCTCACCCTTCAGTAATCTCTGGACATGAGAGCTTGGAAAATGCACCTGGCTCAGGTGGACAGTGGACAGCAGAAATGCATGAAACCAATCCAACATCATGTAACACAAAGCCTACACCACTAGAAGGGGCAACTTGGAATTCACAAACAGAAAACCACGGACATGACCATGAATCTTGGCTTGAAGGGAGTCATGACAGTTCTGCCAGAGGAAGTCTCAAGACGTGTATTCAGTCAGCAAACAAAATGAAATGGTACTTTCTGGATCCTGACTCAGAAGAGCTTGTAGCTTATGATGATGGAGTAAGTGAAGCCATTGAGCAGTCCTATCTCCAGGGGGGTAATGATCACAGACTACCTGTTGACGAGCAGTCGGAAACTCAGTTTATAGTCAACTTCAAAAGTATGGTGGAGTATGCTGACTATGACCCTAGTGACAAAGTAGAAGTTCTGAGAAGGGAGGAAATTGACACAGGTGAGTCACTTGGAATGATAGTATATATATATATAAGTCAACTAGATGTTATGAGATTGGCTGGGTTTCAGGTGCCTTCTCGGACATGTTCCCTCACCTGTATTCCCAAATGTGGAGTGGGGAGAGTAGAAAATAATTCTGCTTATTTTTAGTGGAATGTTTACAAGAAACAAATTCTACGTCTTCAAATGTCTACTTCATGTATGTCAAACAACAAGATCACATCTCTAAGGTAGTTGATATATTAAACATGTTCCTGATATTTAACATGATATATTAAACATGTTCCTGATATTTAACATGATATATTAAACATGTTCCTGATATTTAACATGATATATTAAACATGTTCCTGATATTTAACATGATATATTATACATGTTCCTGATATTTAACATGATATATTAAACATGTTCCTGATATTTAACATGATATATTAAACATGTTCCTGATATTTAACATGATATATTAAACATGTTCCTGATATTTAACATGATATATTATACATGTTCCTGATATTTAACATGATATATTAAACATGTCCCTTTGGAATTCATGTGGGAACATGAAGCACTTTGTTAATGCTAATTGTTAACTTGATGCATCTTCTAGGTAGATTAACACTTGTAATTTAGAAAGTTTGCCTCCTTCCTTTTCATCCAGATTGATTAAATCCTTTATAATTTCTGAATCTCCAGGTGTATTCATGCATTGTAAAGTGCAAGTTCATGTGGGGTTATCAATTTCCATATGATTTAGTTGCAAAGTTTCATTTATCAGTTTTCAAATGGTAGACAGGGTCACTAGAGAGTTTTGATAAAGCAGTATGTTTCTGTGAAAGTCCTTTATATGCAGAAAAGCTCTTTAAATTGTCACAAACAATAACCATGCCTGTCACTCAGACCCTCGACAGTAGAATTGTGATTTGGTATGTCAGTATTGCCCCAATGTTCTTATCTCGTTTTAGAATTATATGTACAGTTGAGCACCGTTGTCTTGATATTCATGGGACCTATTTTATTTCTTGCTTTACGGATCCGTCGGTCATATTTTTTCAAGAATAAGAAAAATAAAAATAAAAAAAATTCCCAGCTTGAAAAATAAAATCCTAATGTTAAGATATATGGAGCGAGACTTTGACTACACAAGGCAGTTTGTTGGACACTGAAACACCGGTATATGTTCTCAGAGAATATAAACTGAATTATCTAACAATCATCATTGTTAGATATCAGTGCTTCGGGCACCTCAGCGAGCGTGAACTTGCAAAACAATGCCTTTGAAAAACGCATGTGGGTTTTTGCTTTGACTGGTGATTTATTTTTTTATTTTTTTTCCCCTCCTGCCTTTAGGTTTTCTAGGGACAAAAATCTGTAAAACAAGAAATAAAATTGGTTTGGCCTTATGAAGGATTTTGCCGGGACCGAGAAGTTATATCAAGACAACCGAGATATCGAGTTATCAGAGTTCGACACAACGGTGCTCGACTGTATTTCTAGACTTGTATAATGCTGCCTGAGAAACTGACAACGGTATGATAATGTCTTCAAGGCACCGTATGAAAAGTCGGGTTGGCAACTTTAGATTTGCATGTGTCTTTTCAAATTATCACAAGAGTTGTGCCATGTCCATCTGAGGACCTGTGAGACATAGTTCTAGCATTCATTGACAGTGTACCATGTACTTTAACTTGTATGATCCTTTGGTAAAATTTTGGTAATTGTATGATCTTAACAACATGTTACGGTAAAAGACTATTCTGACTGATTTGGGGTGGATCATTTGAGATATGTGATGGTTTCAGCGCTTTGAGAATATGGTTGTCAACTGCCAAACAGCTGTAGATTTACATGTGTTTTGATATTTAGATACTGTGTCAGGAGAGGGCCTCCCAAGCACCTGGAGTCCTATGGAGAAAAGAGTAGATGCTGTGCTTTTCAAACTGACAGATCCAACAGTGTATGAAATGGTGAAGAAAAACATTAGAAGGTCATGTGGACATCTTGATGTGTCAGTTCTCAAGGTAACTTTTCACATTTCCCTTTTAGTACAAGTGAGATGGGGTGGCCTAGTGGTTAAAGCTTTGGCTCATCATGCCAAAGACCCAGGTTGATTCTCCACATGGGTACGATGTGTGAAGCTCCTTTTTGGTGTTCCCCGCCGCGATGTTGTTGGAATATTGCTAAAAGCAGGATAAAACCCAACTCACTCACTCACATGACATAGGATGTAGGTAGACTGGTTGGTATTCTCCCCAGGAGTTGAAAATAATAATTGGAAAGCATCCACTGGATGGGGACCACATTTTACCACATATTAGGAGATACAAGTATGTGAATACCAAGTGTGGTATATTGATGTATAATGATTATTGATGTAATTTAATATCTACTTAGACAATGCTTACTTCTATGTAAATAATATTTTGTCTATGTCGAGGATACTTTCATCTTTTTACTTCTACGTAGATTACACTTTTATCTATGTACAAAATACTTTCATCTGTGTAGAAAGATACATTCGTCTATGTTCATGATACGTGAATGTATGTATAGTATACTATACTATAGATATTATAACTATAAGCCATTGAGGAGAAGGTATCATCTAGTGTCAAATTATCGACTTGGCAACCATATTTTCTTGAGTAATTGCCAATAGTTCCCAGTCTGATTTACTCTGTCGTTATAAATATCATTTCAATAACCAGTAACTCTTCATTTGAATATATAATAGCTTTGTTAAATGAATATATTTGAAGTTGTTGGGTTTTTTATTTTAACACCAATATTTCGAAATAATTTCAGTTGAAACTATAGAAACTGCCAAATGAATACAAATAATCCACATGCTGCCAGACTACTAAATGAATCATATATATTTGTATAAACTATACACAAAGAACTTAATTAAGCACCCCCTGTATTTTTGCAATGAGAGGTTTTCAAAACTTACATAAAACTTTTCATGTCGACCACGATGGAAAAACATCAATTTTTCTGACCCGTATGACCCTTTGACTCATAAAAAAAAAAAAAAATGATTGGAATCCGTGTTGATTTTATGATGATAATTGCTCATTTTGTTATAAAAACACTGATTTCCATACAAAGCCATGTCTGTACAAGTATGGCCCTGGAATGTTTAATGTTGAATTTATTGGTACAAAATGTCATTTTGCGTGTCTTACATGATTCAATGTCAATACCGAGTGTAACCTTCATGTGACTGTATGACAGCCAGCACACTCCTCCTCATACCCCCTGTCAGACTCCTGATCCTCTGAAGGGGCTGTCTACGCCATTCCTGGTGTAAAGCAGCTGCCGTTTGGGCCAGGTTCTGTACATACAGGAGGATACCTTTGTTTCACACAACAACCAATCATGTCCCAGATATGCTTCAAAGGGTAAAGATCGGGGCTCATTCAATCATGAGATATGTCAGGGGGTGCTTAACTAAGTTCTTTGTGTATATATCCAACAGCTGGTTGAACTATGCCCTGCTGGAGTTGTAACATCACAAACACAATCATAATCACAGTCTCACTAGCGATACACTCACTTTTAATATCCTATATGCAGATGAAACTATCTTCTACATACAGTCTGTTTGAGACAAAATGATACCAATGTATTGCAATCTAACACAAAAACAAATAGACATAAAAGAATCAAACCCACACAGACTGCAATAAAAACAACAGACCAACTCTAGAAAACATTCACATAATTTTTGTAACAAAAATGAAAAAGTTGTTCAATAAACTGTCATCATTTATTTGTGCGCTTTCCCAGTTTGTTAGAAGGGCGCAGTGGCAACCAAAGGAACAGCGCAAAAAGCGAGATGCACATGCATTAGTGACGTCAGAGACGTGATTACTTCTGTTTGACAAAGTGAGAGAAAACGAAATTTTCTCCCGACGTAAAGTCTATAATTGAAAATATCTATGATTTCTTCAATGCTGAAAATGACAGGGGGAGACCCAAGTATGCAATTGATAAGTACATACAGCGCACTGCCTGTGCAGCTGGGGTACGTGGCATCTCGCCAGCTCAAATATTTGTTGAGACCCCGTTAACGCACGTGCACCTCGCTTTTCGCGCTATTCCTTTAGTTGCCACTGCACCCTTGTAACAAACTGGGAAAACGCACAAATAAATGATGACAGTTTCTTAAACAACTTTTTTATTTTTGTTACACAAATTATGCAACAAAAATTCTAGAGTTGGTTTGTTGTTTTTATTGCAGTCCACGTTGGTTTGATTCTTTTATGTCTATTTGTTTTTGTGTTAGATTGCAATACATCGGTGTCATTTTGTCTCAAACAAACTGTAAGTGTAAATATTATCAACATTAATGAAAGATCTCAGTATCTTCTACATATATATCTGTGTGGATGATAAAAAGAATTTAGACTGTGGCTCTAATACACATGTAAATGTTTCAGTGACCTTAGAGACTGATTATATTACTTGTTTATGTGAGTTTCCACAAATATGTTAAGCCAAGCAGAGTGCTGTGTTGTTAGTCCCGTGCCATGAGAGAAACCAGGTTAGAATTGGTCTTCAGCAACCCATGCTTATTCTCCCCTCCCCACCTGCCCAGCACAGCATTAAACAAAACCAAAACAAAATAGAATGTTTCTTTCAAGCGCTAAGACTATAGGCGATGTATTTTGTATAATTTGTCAGGTTGAGAGTGTACAGAATGAAGAATTACACAGAAGATACCTTGCAAAGAAGAATAGCGTAGCATCTCCTCATGAAATGAATTTGTGGTATCACTGCAACATGACTGACTCCATCAACCCCATCAGCAAATACGGCGTCAACCTCAACTTCTGCAGAAACCTGTCTGGTTGGTAGATGTAATACGTCAACTTAATCATACTTAGCTTGTATTATCTGAGGGTCATTTCAACCAAGCAAATATACCTTTAGTATAATAAGATAAGATCTTTTTGTTGATATTTCACTTTAAAGTCTTTATATTTATCAGCAAGCAAATATTTGTATCTTCCAAAACTAACAATTCATTGTGATGAGATCATCATGATTGTTTGAATCCCATGAAATCTGAATTTTGTGGTCCAGTTACAGCACAGTGTTGTTTGTTGTGATGTCACGTGTAAACAGTCGTGATGTCATCAGTTTACTGTGAATTTTGCCACTGAATAACCTTGTATGATAGAGCAGGTTTTGTGAAGTGTTTCATGTGTGGAATGAAAACTATGTGTAGTCATAGGCGATGCATAACGGTAGTATCAATGTCGTTGTCGCGCATATAACGTTACACATAGTGACAATAGCAGGAGACATAAACCGTAGTCATAGGTGACAGTAAGGTTACGATTGGGACGTCATCATGTTTTTTCTGTCATAGTTAGTTACAATAGTGTTTGACGTAAATGCATGATGGTTTCAGTGGGTAGATACATACTGAGCTACGTTGGGAAGGTTACAAAATTATATCAAATAGGGATGGTATCATCATGTGACAGTTTCTTTTAAATTGTGCACATTCCACCAAACTAATGCCATAATCAATGTTTTCAAATGCATACCAAAGTTGAATTCTGTGATTACTTCAAGAAGTTCCAGTCTGTATTCACCATCTTGCATCACTAAATCCAAACACACCTCAAACAGTGATTATTATCATCAGAAGCTCCTGTAGCATTTTCTGACTGAAACACACACTCACAGTTTACAAAACGTTCACATTGATTTATTTTTAGCATCAATGGTGTCATGATTTCTTTACAACTTCCATTTCAAGTGAATGATGTTGCTTCAACCACTATCCTGGAACTCTTGTAAAACTAAGGGACATAACTCCCGATGGACTATTTGAGATGGGTGACGGATGACAAAACCAACTCACCGCGTTATTATGGTTCATTCTAAATAATTAGGTCTGGTGTTTATTGGGATTGTGTTATGATTTGTGTGTGTATGTGTCAGGATTGAAATTGTATCAGTTGATGTTCAGCCTAAGAAGACAGAGCTTGATGTGAGCAAATTTACTATATAAAGTACTTTTTGTCTTACATATGGTCAGTAGCTATGTAAAACAATTATACACCTATGATTAAGTATCATGGTGGCCAAACCCTTTAATAAAAATGCTGTCATTGTGAGTTTAATTCTTATGTCTGGACTGCATGAAAATAGTTTGTCTTATATGTTATAGGAAAGTGGGATTTTCTGATCCTCCACAGATTTTGTTGTACTTTCCTGAATTTTATGATGGGCTTATCCATAAATCAAGTAAAATTCTTGAGTCGCTCATTCAGTCAACTCCTACTTTCAGAGCCTCTTGGTGAAGGAATCTACTTCTCCGACTCACAAATTGACCACACTGCCACAACATCCACCGATGGTTCTCAGTATGCCTTTCTCTGCTGTGTGTTGGTTGGTGTCTCTGCCAAAGGAAAACCTAACCTTCGAGATCCCCCGTCTCGACCATCTGATGACAATTCCTTCTATGACTCAGTGGTTGATACTGTTCACAATCCATCGACATATGTGATCTTCAGTGATGCCCAGGTCTACCCTGAATATCTTGTGACCTACAAAATCAACAAGGAATAGGAACAGTGTGGATACATCAGTATAGCTGAGTCAGAACATGAGTAAAACATGCGAACTCTTGACATGACCACAACAATATTATCGTCAAGAATTGTTCTCTGTACATAATGTGCACTGTATATTTGCTGTTGTTTTCAAACTTTGAAGGTAAACTTTGCTTCAATTAATGCTTTGAAATGTACATGGATATGCAAAACTTTACGAATGAGTGAGTTTAGTTTTACACTGCTTTTAGCAATATTCCAGCAATATCACGGCAGGAGACACCAGAAATGGGCCTCACCAAAACTTTAAGAGTACATACACATTTTCCCTTACATGATTGTTTTATATTATAATATAAGTGCTTCAAACCAAATTCCTATTATTATTGTTGTTATTAGTATTAGTAGTAGTACATTAGTATTATTTTTATTCAATTAGAATGCAAGCGTACATTGCCTCAGCTCCATTTAGGAAATTATGCTTTATGCTTCTTTGTACTTAAACAAACATGTCATGAACTTACGCGTGTTGATGCTGACATGCTCTTGCTGCAAACAACCATCTCTTCCATGTTGTAGGAAGACTCCTTGATGTACGTAAATTGGGGGGGGGGGGGGGTGTCATCATCACCCCCCGGACCATAACTTTTGAAGGATGTCTTAGTGGGATTTCTCCATGCAGGTTTTACTTTTAGCATGGACGTTCGGCCTGGTTTGTTGAATGAATACGAACATGAACTGTACAGTTCAGGATTCAGGACATGTCCTTTCTGCAGTATGATCGTTCAGTGGAACAATATGGCCTAAATTTGTTTCTGCCTGCCTTATGATTGTATACAGATTATCATGAATGGTATGCAGGTTGTAAAGATTATAATCAAATACAACATCCTGTTTCATTCTGTGGCAGATATTTTGTAAAATGTGGAGTTGTGTTACGTTTTGGTTATCTGATTGCACCCAAAATACAGCCATTTTTTCTGTTTGCTATTCAGCAGTATATACTGTTTTATGTGATGTTGTGTTTGTTATCCAGTGATATTGTTATGCTATTCAAGTTATTTTTTCTAAATATTGATTACATTTAAAGCAATATAAATTGTACTAAGGGACTTTACATTTTATGGCTAGGGGATGTAATGATGATTTAAAGGGGGAATCACCATTTTGTGATTTTTTTTTTTTGGGGGTCATCAATTATGTACATGGTTCCCAAATAATATAGTTTTTCTTTCAAAGTGTCGACAGATGCTGTTTTGGGCTCACCTGTATCTTTGATAACATTTTCACTTGTGTACTGTCTCTACAAACAGCTCATCTTAAACATTGAACAATACTGAATGCGTGATTGTTTATCACTGGAGTTATGTTTTGACATGTAAATCATGTATAACGTTTAAACATGTTTTAGATATTGCAGAGAAATTCATTCCATCGATAATTCAGATGATGTAGTCAGTAGATCCATCCTGACAAGTGCAGATGTATTGTGCCTAGCTTACTTGGTATTTGTTTGCTGAAAGAAAAATACAAGTATTTTCTACAGCATAAAAGAAAATTGCCTGCCTTTCTGCAACAAATTATTGTTGTGTTTGCTTCAAGTTGTTTTGTTTGACATGGTAAACATAGTTTATTAGCTATAAATATTTCCTTCACATGTATTTACTATAGTTGTGATATGTTTGATGAAAAAAGAAAGTCACCTCAAAATTAGGAACAACTGATAAGTTTGTTTGACAAAATTCCTGATTACCGTACTTTTGGAACGTCATGGCATAGATGATCTGTTGAATGAATAGTAACATGACCTGTTTGGCGTTTTTATATTTTTGTTACTTGTTCTGGATTTTAAATTTCGTTTGTGTTTTATGTAGTAATTTATGTTATAATTGGTGTTTTCATGCATTGTGTTTAAATTAGCATTTTAATTAATTTCATTTGTGAATTTTATTATATATACATTTGTTTTAGGTAAATAACTGAATAAGCTGTATTTCAGGAATTAATTATGAATATTTCTAACTGAAATAAACAGATGTGTTAAACATGTGATACTTTGGGATTAGATATACTTACAAAAAAAACTTGTTTTGTTTAATAGAGAATGTTATGATATTGCTAACTGACATGTGTTATTGTTGAACTTTGCTTTCCTCCAATGCTTTCCCTCTAGCCTTTCCTTTTATCCTTTTCTCCTATCCTTTCCCTCTATGCTGTGCTGTGCCTACTTCTATTCTTTCCCACTATCCTTTCCTTCTATCAGACCGCCTCCGTGGTGTAGTGGTTAGAGCGTCCGCCCGGAGAGCGGAGGTCGCGGGTTCGATCCCCGACCGCGTCATACCAAAAGACGTTAAAATATGGTATTTGTTGGTCCCTGTCTGGCGCTCGGCATTAATGGGTACAACAAGGACTGGTCGGCTCGGAGTCAGTATAATGTGTCTGAGTGGGGTATTCATGCTTCACTGTATCTCAGTGAGCTAGCACTATAAAACCAGGTTAAGTCTGGGCTAGTACAAGCAGCCGCACATACACACACACGCATGCACGTCGTCATATGAGCGAAATATTCTCAAGCACGACGTAAAACCCAATTTCACCTCACCTCACCTTTCCTTCTATCCTTTCTTCCTTTCACTTCCCTCTATCCTGTCCTGTGCTTTCCCTCTATCCTGTCCTTGCTTTCCATCTATCCTTTCCCTCTATCCAGTCCTGTGCTTTCCCTCTATCCTGTCCTTGCTTTCCATCTATCCTTTCCCTCTATCCTCCTATGCTTTCCTTCTATCCTTTCATCTGTCCTTTCCTCTATGCTTTCCTTCTGTGGATCTCTGCCATGGAAAAGCTGATTGCCTGATATAGTACATAGCCAAATATTCAATGTTTATTGAAATAGATTATAGCAAGACAAAACACACTGATTGTTGATGGTTTAAACTGAAAGAAGTGTCCAATAATGACACATTTTACTATATGATATAGCCTTTCATATCCAAAATCATTGGATTCTGGAACACAAAGTTGGTGAATGGATTTGAAATAAAAATGTTAATGGGGTGTTTTTGTACAGATGTTTATTGAAATAGATTATAGCAAGACAAAACACACTGATTGTTGAAGTTTTAAATTGAAAGAAGTGTCCTGTAATGACACATTTTACTATATGATATAGCCTTTCATAGCCAAAATCATTGGATTCTGGAACACAAAGTTGGTGAATGGATTTGAATTAAAAACGTTAATGGGGTGTTTTTGTACAGATGGTAGAACATGAAACACATGATCAGCATCATAGCACCTGGGTTATATGAGTAAAGAAATGAGGAAGACACAGGGATGAAGTCTGGACATGTTCATTCTACCCTACTTCACAATGAAAGAAAGTTTCCATTTTGAAAATTTCAAAATGGCCGCATTGAGAGTTATTATACTTTAGACAGGCCAAATAGAGATGTTTATGGCACCTGATTGTAGGAGGTCGAAAGTTGATGTAATGCTTCAGATTTTGTGACAGGATTGTTGCTGTCAATTTCTTTAGAATTATATACTGCAGTAACTTTGGTTGAATCCTTTGAAAGGTCAAGGTTATGGATAGTTCAGCAGAAGGAAAACCAAGTTATATGGATAGTCAACTTCTTTATTGCAATGAGTGCGACGTTTCAGTGTAGGTACTAACACTGTTATCAAGCAAGTGATACAAAGAGTTGCAACATGTATAATATATACATAGCTGCATAGCGTGTATATACAATTGACTAGGTTGATATACATTGGATTGCTAATTAGTGATTTGAGCAGTGTAGGTTGATGTACAGAGCGATAGTGATTAAAACAATATGCAGAATGAGTTTATACCATAGAAGAGTTGATGTACACTGAGATAGTAATTGTGAGTTGAAGAGAGTAGGTTGATGTACACATTTATTGGTTGTGTTTACAATACACAAAAGGGAGCAAAGAATCCAATTGGACGAGGTTGTGATAGGCTGAGGAGATAAAATAACCTTGATCCCGGTTCATGGTGGGGTTGAAGCGTTGGATTTTTATGGCTTCAAGAAGCTTCCTCATCTTGTAGTCTGATCGGTTGGTTTCCAGGATGTGGATGTTGTCCCAAAGGATGGCATGGTCAGGGTTGGCTTGGGTGTGGTCGGCTATGGCGGATTTGGAGTCTTTTATCTGGAATGAAGTTTTGTGTTCTTTAATTCGTAGTGGGAGAGGGCGGGACGTTTCACCTATGTAAGAGTCTCCACATTGACAATTGCTCTGGTAGACTACTCCTGTGGGGTCTTTTTTAGTTGTTGATGGGGGTTTGCCTGTGGCTTGGAGGAGGTTTTGGGTGGACTTGTCTTTCTGGAACAGAACGTCTATACCTGCTTGCTGCTGCAGTAGTGGTCTCATCTGGTGGCTGACTGCTGGGACATACAGGATACTTATTGCCGACGGGGTGGTGATTTATCTCTTGGGTTGAGGGTGGATCTGATGCCGTTGTTAACTAACTTCTGGGGGTACTTGTTATAATGGATGAAGACATGGCGGAGGAGGTTTAATTTTTAGTTCGATTTCTAGGGCTTCTGTTGTCGAGCAGATGTTCTTGGCTCTTCGGGTAAGGGTGAAATGATGCCTTTCTTAACCTGCAGAGGGTGATTGGAGGTGAAGTGGAGATATTGGTCGGTATGAGTGGGTTTCCTGTAGACAGTGGTGGAGAGCTTGTTTTCTTGCTTCTGCACCAGGACGTCGAGGAAAGGGAGTTTCTTATCAGATCCTTCTTCCATTGTGAACTGCATACGGGGATGTTGAGAATTGAGGTGGTCGAGGAGGTATTCAGGATTGGCGTCGGGGTTGAGGACTACAAAGGTGTCGTCTACTTCCCTGTACTAGCATATTAGAGTGATGGGGGATGTCAGCAGGGCCTTATCTTCAAATTCTGTCATGTATATCTCAGTGATGATAGGGGAGATAGGTGAACCCATGGGTAGCCCATGGGTTTGCTGAAAGATCTTGTCAGACCATGTAAAATAGGTTGACCTGATTTTCCCAGAAGTGTGTTAACAACATCAACCTACACTGCTCAAATCACTAATTAGCAATCCCATGTACATCAACCTAGTCAATTGTATATACACACTATGCAGCTATGTATATATTCTCCATGTTACAACTCTTTGTATCACTTGCTTGATAAGGGTGTTAGAACCTACACAGAATTAGCTCTCATTGCAATAAAGAAGTTGACTATCCATAGAACTTGGTTTTCCTTCATCTATACAACTTCTAAAATGCCTCTCATAGAAGATAGTTCTCAGAGTCGTAAATGATTCAGTGCTAAAACTGTGGCAAAGTCTATGTACTTTTCTCTATAACTGCTAGCGTTAAATGTGCAGGAAATTCAGTTAATGAAAATCCATACATGAGAATGTTGAGATCATTATCAAGCTTAACCCTTCCTAGCCCAAATATAATTCATAAAAGGTGAGCTTTTGTACCTTTAGTTCTTAATTTTAACATATTATGCTTAACTTAAATACATCACACTTTTATAGGTAACAACTTCTTTTTATTCTTTACAGGACGTTTCAGAGCTAATGCTTGCTCCTTCTTCAGGTGAATACTTAGTCAGTACAAAGAGTGAATATATATAGATAAAACATGTTTACACAATGCAAGGAGGGACAATGTACAAAGATAACAATATAATTACGTAGCCAACAATATAATCACGAAGCCAATAAGGTTGGATTAATGCATTAAGAAAACAATGTATTGTGTACACAAATGTGGGGGTGGAGTGATGTACAGAGTATACACTGGGAAGGTAAATGCCAGGATAACAGAACACAAGACCTCTGTAGAAAAATCTGACATGAAATCTGCCCTTTCGGAACACCTCATCAAAAATCCCGACCACCATATTTCCTGGCAACAAACCCAGATTCTACACACCAACATCAACTACTGGAAGAAGCGGAAACTTCAAGAAAACATTGAGATCAAGAGAAAGAAGCCAGCCATTAACCGGGACCAAGGCATTAACCTTCCCAGTGTATACTCTATTGTTCTATAAATCTCCTGGCGTCATCCGTTCATCGTTTTCTTTAATCCTATCCAATTGGTTTCCTATTGTGTTGTTATTCTTGTACATCACTCCACCCCCAAAGGAGTGTATTTGTGTACACAATACATTGTTTTCTTAATGCATTAATCCAACCTTATTGGCTTCGTGATTATATTGTTGGCTACGTAATTATATTGTTATCTTTGTACATTGTCCCTCCTTGCATTGTGTAAACATGTTTTATCTATATATATTCACTCTTTGTACTGACTCAGTATTCACCTGATGAAACAGCAAGAATTAGCTCTGAAACGTCCTGTAAAGAATAAAAAGAAGTTGTTATCCATAAAAGTGTCATGTATTCATGTTCGTCCAACTTCTAATTATAAATGCCTTTCAAAAACTTAATGCTTAACTTACAAAAAATTCCACTTGTCAAAGATTTAAGCATCACTATTTTCAAGACAATAAATATATTCCAGTCTTCCTGTGTTTGTCTATATGTTTGTCACTAACCATGGCATGCACTGGCCCGCTAGGTCGTGGCTAGTAAAAACCTAGTCGGGCCAGTAAATCTTCACAGTTACTGGCCCGACTGGCTAGTGAAATTTCATGGGGTCATTTTATAGATATATCACACTCTCCCGACTTGTTAAGTTATGACACACATTTACATAATGCAAGATTATGCCTGATTAAAATGTTCATTATATTATCAGCTAAATGATGAAATCCGTGTCTACATTCAAGTTTGGGGCAAGTAAATTGTTTTGTGGGCTAGTGACTTTCAGGCATAGGTGGCCCGACTGGCTAGCAAAATTTGGCAACTATTTTGCACACTGGCTACAAACAATACATTTTTTGCACCAGCTCCGATCTTTGATGTCTCCGCTTCACAACTTTTGAGCTGTAGTCAATTAAGCTATCCATCCATTGTTCAAAGTGCGCCATGCACTTGTTACAAAATTGTCTGACTTAAGAGGCACACTACTTCATCAACGCAATAATAATGTCTTCACAGACTGGTTTTGAATCACTAACACTCGAAAAACTGAAAATGTATGAGGGAATGTAGTTTTCCGAAATTTTATAAATGTTCCAGAAATATTAACAAGAGTGACACCAGAAACAAATTTCACACAAACCCTTTTATGAGGAATGAAACCTTGGTCCTCGGCGTGACCAGCGAATGCTGGTAAAAACTGAAAGTAATTTGAGAGAGAGAGAGTGTGTGTGTGTGTGTGTGTGTGTGTACTGTGATATCAATGTCTTTGATATCAGCATGTGATATTACGTAACGTGTCATCCGTTCAGCGAAACAATTCGTTCATTTCACTTAAGTGTTTGAGGGGTGGTGGAACCTTGTGGTTAAAGCCTTGGGTACAATGTGTGAAGCCCATATTTCTGGTGTCCCCCGCTGTGATGTTGCTGCAATATGGCTAAAGGTGGCGTACGGTAAAACTAAACTCAAGTGTTTTCGGATACACCTCGACATCAAGTTATGTCGACAACAAAATATTTCACTTTCGCGTAATTCCATCTATGGAAGGCTCAGAACTTACCAGTCAACCCTCTAATTACACCAATATTAATATCATAACATTGAAGCTGTGAATGACGACACACATGTGACCTCAAACACACACATACAATGTGGCTGGTCAAGGACAAAGTAGCGAACTTTCAACCGTGTCTACAAAACCGAAAGCGAAATTAAGATTTCTGGGAAAAGAGGTTTAGGACTAGCTCCAAGAAAAATGAACGCTGGTTGTGCAACATGTCAGGAAAATATCGCTCTGTGGTAAGAGTTGTGTGTACGATTCACCTGTGTTTATATTTTAATCAATTTGCTTAGTCGAAAATGATGTGGCACTGTGAACTATAGATATAGGTAATTATACGTGATATGTCCGAGATCGATCAGCAATTCTAGTCCTGTCACGCTCTCTGTGTATGGATCAAGGTTTGTATACAGCTCCTGAAAATATTACACTCATGTCACTAACTACCCTGGGGCGGTGGGGTAGCCTAATGGTTAAACCGTCCGCTCGTCACGCCGAAGACCCGAGTTCGATTCCCCACATGGGTACACTGTGTGAAGCCCATTTCCGGTGTCCCCCGCCGTGATGTTGCTGGAATATTGCTAAAGCGGCGTAAAACCATATTCACTCACTAACCACTTTGCCTACTACCGTAAGTTGAAGACTTGGGTAAGATCAACGCAAGTTGGTACGTTTTCTTTTGAGACAATTACTGTTTAAAAGCTTGCATTAGCCATGTGTTTATGAACCTGGAATTGATCTCATTAAACAAGATATTAATGAAATGTTATTTGTAACATAGCGTCGGATTTAGGACTATATGGTTTTTAAGTTGTCTCTTAAAAATGAGTTTCCTCAAACTCGATGTCATTGGACTTCAAATGCTGTCATGATAGCGAAAGTATCTGTAGGTTATGCTTGAGACGATCACGAATAGAGGCAAGGTACTTTGAGGTAGTAGTAGGCACGTTTTGCTAGAAAACGTATGAGAAAACATGGTGGTACGTGGGGCAGTGGCGTAGCCTAGTGGATAATGCGTTTGCTCGTCACGCAAAAGACGCGGGTTCGATTCCCAAAATGGTATTGCTGTAACATTGCTAAAGTGGCGTAAAGCTGCTGTTTTCGCAAGTTGTAAATTAAGAATAACTGTTGATATTTATGTACTTGTTTCCTACTTTTGAGAATATAACGAATATGCTTTTCGTATTCATATACAATTCAGCATCGATTCCTTTCCTCTTGACAGACTCTGTATTTCTTTTAGGTAACACAACTGATTTTCAATGATTGGTAACGAAGCAATAGAAGACAAAGGACACGGAGATGGTAGTAGTGAAACACATCCTAACAAGCAAGAAGAGTCGGAGCCTTATCGTCCACAAACCGACCCTGTCTCTCCTCCTCCTAGTGGGCAGCAGTGGTGTTATTGTGGCAGTGTTCCGCCACCCACCCACCCCTATGGTATCGTGTGTGTGCAGTATCATATCACTCCCACAATAGACAGTCAAACACGGTCTGATCATCCTGCTCATGGTGGACATCGAGCATCAACGGAAGACACAGGGCATCAAGGAACTGGTAGGGTCGAAATGCAACACGCCTTACAACCAATGCAGCCTAACCCTCCAGTGCCACAACCATGGGGTGGCTATCCTCACAGTGGGTATCTGCCAGTGCCACCGTTATGTCACTGTGGCAATCTACCACCACACCATCACCCTGGTGGTATGGTATATTTGCCATATCCCAACATACGTCTTGCAGACAATCGGTCAGCGCCTGACCACCCTACTCACGGTGGACAACATGCAGTATCAACAGAAGGCAAGGGATATCACGGAGCTGGTAAAGTCGAAATGCAGCACACCGGGCAACAGATGCAGCCTAACCCTCCAGTGCCACAGTCAGAGTATGGCTATCCTCACTGCGGATATCTGCCAGTGCCACCGTTCTGTTACTGTGGCAATATACCACCACATCATCATCCAAATGGTATGGTATATATGTCATATCCCAACAGGCCTCCTGCGGATTGTCAGTCAAGAACAGAGTACCCTACTCCTGATGCACAACTCCCATCAATAGAAGACAACGGGCACCATAGAGCTGGTAGAAGCCAAATGCAATTCGCCACACAACAAATGTTGCCTATTCCTCCAGTGCCACAACCATGGAGTGAAAGTCCTCACAGTGAGTATCTGCCAGTGCCATCGCTCTGTTACTGTGGCAACCTACCACCACACCATCATCCAAATGGTAGCGTGTATGTGCCATATCCCAACAGTCCTCCCGCAGGCAGTCAGTCAAGATCTCACCACCCTAATCATGGCGGACAAAATCCAGCATCCATGGAAGACAAAGGACATCAAGGAACTGGTAAAGTCGAAATGCATCACGCCTTGCAACAAATGCAGCCTAACCCTCCAGAGCCACATCCATGGAATGGCTACCCTCACTGTGGGCATCTGCCATTGCCGTTATGTTACTGTTGCAATATACCACCACATCATCACCCTGGTGGTATGGTATATTTGCCATATCCCAACATACGTCCTGCAGACAATCGCTCAACGCCTGACCACCCTGAAGCCTAACCCTGATGGACAACCATGGAGAGTATCAGTTGCCACCCTTTATGTTAGGCAACCTACCAGGGACATCAAGGAGATGTTACAATCTGCCAAATGGATCATACTACACAACCTATGAAGCCTAACCCCCTCCATTACCACAACCATGGAGGCTTATTCTCACAGCCATTGCCAGTGGGTATCTGCCATATGCCACCGTTATGTTACTGTGGCAAGACACTAGCCAAAACGAACACACCATCCTGATGGCATCGTGCAACGAGTTGCCATATTCTCACACCACCTCCTACAGACGGTCAACCTTTTTAATCTAACTATAAATCTGCACGTCTACGCAATGCACAGTGCTGTGAAATGATTTAGGCCACGCCAATTACGTCCCCTGAAAAGATTCAGTCACCCTTGTCCGAGCGGGGATGCTGGGTGCTCTTGTACAAAACAACCTTAGAGCTAAGGCTTATTGAGTTACGGTGACCTTAGCGCTAAGATCGCTTTGTACAACGGCACCCAGGTCGATGTGATCTCTCCTGCAGGATGAAGAGCTTTGCGAAATGTGAACAAGCTTTTATAGCTTTGAACGTGAAAATTATAATATGATTTCCCTTCATTCCTTCCTCGATGAGTCAGGTCTCTGTGTCTGGAGCGGTGGTAAAGCCTAGAGATTAACGCGTTCGCTCGTCACGGCGAAGACCAGGGTTCGATTCCCCACATGGGTACAATGTGTGAAGCCATTTCTGGTGTTTCCCGTCGCGATATTGCTGGAATATTGCTAAAGACGGCATAAAACCATGTTCACTCACTCACTCGCCGAAGACCCGGGTTCGACTCCCCACATGGGTACAATATGTGAAGCCCATTTCTGGTGCCCCCCGCCGTGATATTACTGGAATATTGCTAAAAGCGGCGTAAAACCACACTCACTCACTCACACAGGACTGTCCAGACACAAGCATCACTCATCAGAACTTCACTTCACGTTTTTGTTCCTTGTTTAAAGTTCATAGTTATAAATCTCGCCGAATTATTATGTTGGAAATAGAATATACTTTGGTTGTGAATGATGCAGTTCCTCGTGTTTACTGTGGTTCATGAACATGAGTGAACCAATGCACCTAGCATATGAACCATTAAGACTATGAACTGCGATAAGTGAACCTGTATTTGACACACAAATGACGCTTTTTAATAGCACAGATCACACCTAGATTCATGACGGTTTTATACCGACTGGAAACGTTCAACTCCTCGATATGCAATAGTTATTCTACATCAGCACTTGAGCACAATTATCTCTTTGAATTTATTTTGTATTTATGTGTATGTAAAAATTAGTTTTTCAAAATAAAGCCCCAGAAACATCAGTTGTTACATCTCTTTATTACACCATACATAACGACAAACATGGATTCATATTCTTCGGCTTGGTGACTATATGGGGGCATTGCGAGTCGACAGTCGCATGCGTTGAAGTAGATTTGCCTTGCCATACATACCCCAGACTTCGCTTGAGGGTATGTTCCCATTCGACAGATGTGCCTGTAGCTGAGTCTGCCATACAGATCCTGAAGCAGATGTGTCCAGTACAGCCCATGCAAGTCTATTATATATTATTATTAATATTATTATTATTATTGGATATTTATATAGCGCACATATCCACGCACTAGTGCATGCTCAAGGCGCTGATATATGGCCTGTATAGTTTTCGTTTGATTCCAGTTTAACGCCGCACACTGCAGTATTCCAGCTACATGGTGGCGGTCTGTATATAATCGAGGCTGAACCAGACAATCCAGTGATCAACAACATGAGCATAGATCTACGCAGTTGGGATGCAATGGCATGTGTCAACAAAGTCACCGAGCCTGACCATCCGATCCCGTTTGTAGCCTTTTACGACAAGCATGGGTTACTGAAGACCAATAAATTAATTCTAACCCAGATCTTCACGGGTCTGGCATCTATATATTACTGCGGGTGTCTAGCAGTCATGCAAATATGAAAATACATATCTAATACAGCCCGTGCAAGTCTAGAATATGTCGTATGTATGGACTAATGCAGTTTCTGAAAATGAACGCAGTATCTTTGCTATTTTTCAATATATTGTAATCTAAAAATGTTGACAGTTTTCTTCTTTCTGACAATATGTTTACATCAAAGACTAGATGTAAGTCTACAAGTAGGCATATAGAATAGCACGTAGTTCTGGAACTCGACGTGCGCGAGCAGGTGTCGATGTATATGTAAACTTACAAACATATCACTTACAACTAAACACTTCCTTAATCCAACAACAACGTAAAATGTCCAATAACTACTGTAACGATCCGGGTTAGTCATGTAAGTGACTGAAACATAATGTAGTATAAATATAATTTAGTGTACAGCACTGCACTAAAAAATACGGAAATATACGAGTCATTGGAAATGCAAGTTAAAGGTTTATAATAAGTTATAAATCCTTGCTAAGGCTAGAAGCTGTTCGGCTACGATTAGAGTGCTGTCCCTTTGTTGTGTTTAACCAATCACTGCCACGCACGTTCCAGCGCATGTCAGACAACTTTGCAGCCGGTAACGGAACTATCCTCTGCCACAGGTGGAAAAGACAAGCATAACAGTTACAAGTCATTCACGACGTCTCATCACAAGCATGCAGTTCGACATCAGGCGGTGAGTGTGGGTTCTTATCAGCTGCAGTCCAATTATTGATGCCGCGCGGCATGCAAATCAATCCTCGCAGCTGGAAAATAATACGATTGTTGGCCAGCTGTCAAAACAGTGCACGTGGACATACCGTTATACCACAGCACAATGAAGCATTGACCGATTGTGGGAGCCCAGATTTTTATCACTGCAATGTCAGAATTTGCCGAGCAATGCTTTTACTGTTGGGGTGCATTGTGATAAAACCTGGTGTCGTCTTTTGAACATTAACCTTCCGGACAGTGTCTTGGTACTGTAAACAGAAGCAATTAGGTTGGGAATAACGACATACTGGCGTCTAATAGTGTACTTTATTCTACATGTAGTCTCGGTATAACACCCCAACAGGAATATAGTTGATAGTCGTTTGACATATAATATGATAACGGTCATGTTAACCTTTATGCAAATGATATATGCAAGTTTTTGTTTGGAACGACAATTAGGGTGGTATATTACCTCTTCATCAGATGAATACTGCTAAATATAACTTATTATATTTGTTTAGGCTGGTCATCAGTACATCACTTATTAGGTTTTGAATACCACTCATTTTCAACAGGCAGATCAAGCCAAAGACCCGGGTTCGAATCCCCACATGGGTACAATATGTGAAGCCCATTTCTGGTGTCCCCCGCCGTGATGTTGCTGGAATATTGCTAAAAATGGCGTAAAACCAAACTCAGTCAGTCAGTCAGTCAACAGGCAGAAATTGTACAATGCTTGCTTTTGTTGTTAACTCGTAAGCCAATTATTCAATTCTGATTTCGGTGAAAAATGTTTTTTCAAAATAATTCTTGGCTCAAAGTGATGAATATTTTCAGACAGTGTATCAGTGTAGTATTCAGTTTAGTCAATTCTTTATTTCCTTGAAAAAGTACATTTCATCAGCGTTTGATATATATTATTAAAAATTTGACAGGGTGGTATGCTGGGCTGGAGAATGTACACAATATGCTGTTTTGGGCAGATTTGTCATATTTTCTCTTAAGTTAATTCAAAAAAATAATGCATCAGAACTGCCTGGGAGTATGTGCGTAATTGTCTCATATCTCTAACACTAACACTCACTTACCAGTGTATGAAATAAGCCAAAAATCCTGCCAGACAAAATGGATTTAACCAGACCAAATATGGTGAATTTACTCAGATGTATGGAACATTTAAAATTTTTACCAGACCATCGGACTGGCTAGCTCTAAATTTAGGCTATCCGTCACGAATCTAGACCGTCTCGGGCGGTTGGACGGGCCTTATTTCATACACTGCACTTACCATAAAACACACCAAGCCAAGGTAACAAATAGATATCAAGAGACATAATATGGTTTCAAAAAGTTGTCACATGATCTTACCTGAATGTGTTTTACTCAGAAATTATGGGGGCGGTGGGGTAGCCTAGTGGTTAAAGCGTTGGCTCGTCACGCCGAAGACCCGGGTTCGAATCCCCACATGGGTACATTGTGTGAAGCCCATTTCTGGTGACCATGATACCATTGGACATAGTCTTAGCAGTGTTTGTATCCATTGAGTCTTGGCGTGTCACTGATAGGAAGTGATTAACTCAGCAGATGCAAAATTATGATAAACATCAAACCATAGGACTAAATAAATAGAAGCTGAACTATCGTCTAAAATCAGTTGTGCCCAGACTGTATTGCAAGTCATGTTGTCTTAGTAGACGTGATCTATGCATTAGGTAGTAGACTTCAGTTGCAAAATATGTCAGTGATTTTTAATGCAGACATAAAATTTTCAGAAGCAAATGTATTTGCATATTGGCCTAGAGCTTATGTTGCTGTTGTTGCTGAAATACAAACTAAAATGTCTGTGTGTAAGATTGATGTTGAAGCAACAACACCCTGTCTTGTAAATTATCTGTCAGTGATCTTGCATCAACCTCCACAGTGAGCCCTGGGGCATGTGTGTGATATACAGATGTGTGATAACACTGCGTCATGGAGAGCTGATACCACAAACTAGCCATGCTTCATCAGTTTTATTGGGAAATTATGTACACTTATTTAAGCTGCTGATGGTAATTGTGACAGCAGGTTGGACATTTACTGGAAGCTGTTCAGTGATGTGTATAATGCTTGTATCAGGATCACAGTTCCGACTGCTGGGTCACGCTGTTTTATTGGTTATCGGTGGCTCTATTGATGACATGGATCTCAGTGTCAAACCTGTTTTAAAGTACCATTATACTGTGTCGACACGGACATCATGCTGTTATTTCGATGCACATGCTGTTGATCACTGGATTGTCTGGTCCCGACTCGGATTATTTACAGACAGCCGCCATATAGTTGGAATGTTGCTGAGTGCGGCGTAAAACTAAACTCACTCACTCATGCCGTTATTAAAACAAGTTTATTGTTTTATGCTACAAGACAAAGAATAGAAATCCTTTCATTTGTAGAGGAATTTTGCTTTCATCATGCACAGTATAGTTTCCATTTACAAAGACTTATTGCCATGAAAATAGAAATATTGTTTGTATTCTGTTATTTAAAAAATGACAAGGCCACCATTTTCATTGTTTTGACACTGACCTGAAAACATGCAGTCATGAATCTCTTGACAGTAAACATGGTAAACAAAATTGTACTTTGTAAAACAAATATCAAAATAATTATTTGTCAAGATGAAACAAACATTATAGGTTCCTTGGAAGAGAAAATTATCACAGGGCATGTTTTCCCAGTGTTTAAATTTCACACATGGTGTTGGAAATAACAAGAACATTTTATGTACAAATCCTGCAAAAGTCTGACGGCTTCAAAGCCTGCCCCAGTGTATTCAGGAACAGCAGCCATAGACACAACTTTAAGTCAAGTCAAGAGCATATGTGTAAACATTATTTCACAGGTTCTGCATTTGTAGCAATCCTGCTCCAGAGAGAGACAAAACTGTTTACCATGTTAAAATGTTCTGTTTATTCAGTTCCAATTTGTAGCATAAGTTTAACTTAAAACAATAAGAACAGGTTCAGAGTTATAGACCTTGAATATTACTCATCCGTTACAACTACCATCAGTGTATTTTTACTTTCCTCAGCACAATGTTTTACTTTTAGTCTTACTTGACGATTCGGGTTAGGATTGGTCTTCAGAAACCCATGCTTGACGTGAGAGCGACTAACGGGATTGGAGGGTCAGACTCGCTGACTTGGGTGACATGTCATGGTAACCCATTTGCTGTTGATCACTGGATTGTCTGGTCCAGACTCGATTGTTTACAGACTGTCGCCATATAGCTGGAATATTGCTGAGTGTAGCGTAAAACTAACTCACTCACTCACTCTATTATGTCTGTGGCAGTATATTTTGTGAACGATGTTTGCATGTTGTGCTTATGTCTACAAACAATACAATGTTGACTAAGATGAATTGTCGATAATGTCTACAGCAATCACCTTGTTGTCGTATCCCTTTATCTACATTGTGCCGCCCTAGCAGGTGTAACTAACTGACACTTAGATACACTTCATCGACAATCGCTGCAACAGGTGGCATGGATTCAAAACTATCTGTGTTCAGATGTTACTGTGTTCAAATCTTGTTGAATCATCTCTAATGACAACTGTTCAAATTGTTTTGCATCTCCATGGCAGGGTTGCAATGTGAAATGAAAAATCAATATATGTTTAGGAGATGTTTGGGATAAATATTGACACATCCAAACATGATGAGCCATCTTTAATCAACCAAATAAGCAATTACTGGCTTCTGAATTTGTACACATGCCATCTGAAAATAGTTTTTTTTTAAAATTCATTTTCAAACTATACCGAGAATAAAATCAAAATCAAAACTAAGATGTGAAGCTGTGGAAATGTTAGGCTGAAATAATTGGGAAGACCTATCCATATTTAGAGAAGGTTCATCTGGTAACTGATTTAGGGATATCATAAACATTTGTATTTACAATTAAAGGAAATATTGTTTAGGATATGATGGCACTGCTTTTTAAAGCAAAATAACTATTCCTATTCTGCTCATACAACACTATTAAACTTAGGTTTCACTTGTCAAAAATGACAATGATGTGACCATTTAACTGTCATTTCTGATTTTCACTTTTCAAAATAAGGTACCCGTAACCCTTTTTGAGGAAAACAAAATGCATGTTTTCCAAAAGCACATACATCCTGTTTAAAGTAAGAGATAATTTCCATAATGATTTTGTTTTTAAACTAAAAGTACTAAACCAAATTATGATAGGGGTTTTTTTTGTGAAAGATTTACTATGAGACAACCTATATTGGCAAAATATACTGGGTGGTGCTTAACTTTTTCTTCACAGTATAGATTTTTAAAAGAGCATATATCACACTGCAGGGTTTTACGTGACACACTCCAGTACGCACAAATGTGGAGAATGGATACAGAAACCCACAAATACTGTGTACGAAGCGACACCTAAGTACCAACCATGCATCAGGACTAGTTACCCGTATCTGTAATTTCACCCATCAGTCATGACAACTGTCCACATGCGTGGACTCTAAAGTAATTTCGATGCTCATGCTGTTGATCACTGGATTGTCTGGTCCAGACTCGATTATTTACAGACTGCCGCCATATAGCTGGAATATGGCTGAGTGCGGCGTAAAACTAAACTCACTCACTCAGTCACTGAAGTAATTAACTGAACCTACTCTACACTACATCATGTCAATACTTTACAGGACACTAATGAGCAAGGACCCGTAACATTTATTTATTACCTTTGTAAGTTAAGGTAAAGTCTGGGGCCTAGATTTTTTAAGCTATCTTAGAGCTGAGATAGTCGTAAGTTATTGTTAATATATGGTGCTTACGACCATCTTAACACTAGCAGAGCTTCGAAAATCTAGGTCCTGGTGCTTTTATCCTGGGATGACATGTCACAGTGCAACAAATATTAGGTGAAGTGACATCACCTCAACCTAGTCTGAAGGTCGGCTTCAGATCATTGGGTATGTTTGCTAGCAGGGTGTGGAGTCATCCCGCTGATGATATCCTTACCGTGTCAGCTTAACCTGTTTGGTCACATGAACAAGATGTCCGATTAGAAGGGTGGTAAGAATTCTAGTATTGGCTGCTACATTGCTAATAAGTGGGGTAGTCTTGTGGTTAAAGTGTTTGCTCGTCACGCCGAAGACCTGGGTTCGATTTCCCACTTGGGTGGGATTTCTGTGAAGGCCATTTCTGTTGTTCCCTGCCACCATGATATTGCTGGAATATTGCTAAAAGTGGCGTAAAACCATAAAAGGTGTATGTATCGTGATACGTATCGTATAGCAGGTAAAATATTGCGATACGTATCGTGTCGTGACATAGTGTATCGTCCCAGCCCTAGACATTTTCTGACCCACGATCACCATTTGTCCCTTTTCTTAATACAGTCATCCCTCGCAATATGACTCAGTGAGTATATTTGTTGACTCTTTTTTAATCAGAAATATAATGACAAAAGTAAGCTGATGGAATACAGTTTCACCTGTGGACGTACAAAATTCACCATTTTGTTAGTGCCGAATGTAATATACCGGTCATTCTGCCCTGGGCAGCAAGTATATATTTTGGGCAACATACACGATCAAATACTCTGAATACTTGACTATCATCCCAATGGCCCAAGATGAGTGAATAAATCAAAATATTTTCATAATCGACTAGAAGTGCTTTCACTGTAGAAGAAAATGGCCTGTCACTAAGTTGGATAAGGTAGCCTCTGTATCATGTGGCGACCATGATGGTTGTGATTCGACTGCATTCTTTGATTTGAGAAACTGATTTATCCTGAAATTGCTTGAGTGGTTTCTTTCCTGTCAATATATATTATAGTTTGCTCTGTGCAATTCATAAGCAATTGTGTGTACATGCACCTGTTTGTGCATGCATGTGATGGAGAGTGTGGGTGTGTATAAAAGTGTGTGGGTGGGTGTAAAAGTGTATGTGGGACTACAATCATGTAAAGTGTGTTATCTGTCTGTGGACAAGCCTTTCTTTATCTGTTCTCATACTCACCATGCAGTTATTTTATGAATCGGGATTTCTTTTGATGGCTTTTGTCTCTTTACAGTCTCTTTACAGGCTTTTTTAGGTTGTACAGACAGTTGCATGCACATGGTGTTTATTGATTGAAAACATCTGTGGTGTGTACAGGGCGTATATGAAAAGAATCGATTCTAAAAAAATATATACATGATTGTAACACTTACAGGTAACAGATGTTCAAGTTGTTTAAAATGGTAGGTGTATGCCTAATTGAGTATTGTTTTCTTTATATTTTACCAGGAATATTTTAGGTATTCTCAGAGAGTGCTGGGGGCGGTGGGGTAGCCTAGTGGTTAAAGCGTTGACTCGTCACACCGAAGACCCAGGTTTCGAATCCCTACATGGGTACAGTGTGTGAAGCCCATTTCTGGTGTCCCCAGCCGTGATATTGCTGGAATATTGCTAAAAGCAGCGTAAAACCAAACTCAGTCAGTCACTCAGAGAGTGCTAATTTTCTGAACTTCTATCATGTCTATTACAACTGAAATTGAAATATCTCCATTCATGTTAGTACTTTGTGTCACTCAGTACTATTTTACTTTTACAAAACAGGTTTTGGCACACCAACATGAATGATTAGATGAGATTCACATGGATCAAAACCATGTCACTGAAAACCGCTCGTAGATCTTTTAATGAGTACTTACCTATGCTATGTTTTGAAAAAGAATCAAGTTAAACAAAAATGCTTAGATAACGAGCAAGTATCTTCGTCCAGTAGATGGTCACTAGTTTGGTCATATGATACAGTACTCCAGAGTGAAACTTGTGATTCAGGTTAGAATTGGTCTTCAGCCTTCCATGCTTGTCAAAGAGGTTACCGTATATGACCGTCTATAAGCCGAATTTTGAGGACCAAAAAAAGCAGTCTGTAGAAGGGGGTCGTCTTATCCATGAGTTACACTTTCGTCAAACTTTTTTCCAGCGGTAAGAAAACAACATCGTATCACTTCGCGTGAACTAACAACAGAAGACGACTTTGTCAGTAGAGACGTCAAATTTGCAATTAAACATCACTAGACAAGATTAATTACCATTTAAGTTATAAGTTGATTTGCTGGGCATTGTTTTATTTATTATTTATTTATTTATTATTTATTATAGGATATTTATATAGCGCACATATCCACACACTAGTGCATGCTCAAGGCGCTGGTATTTTTTCCCTCGATCATTGGATGTCAATCTCAACGGCACATCACATTATCAATCTCAACTCCCTGAGGACTATACAACTCTTGCAGCCACTAGGCGCACCGAGTTATTGTAACTTTCTCATCCTAACGAGGTACCCATTCACAGCTGGGTGGACTGGGACACATAGTCACAGTACTTTGTCCATGTTTACTGCACGTTGCTATACCCGCAACTAGGCGTTTGCACGTATTCATGTGGCCACCATCTGGTCATATTCCAATGGATTCGTGGGTTCTTTTAAGTGCACAGGGTTGTGTACTGTACACTAGGGGTTGTGACAACACTGAAAGAGTCTGCACACAAAGTTGACTCCAAGGTTTTTACACCCGGTCACAGGTGGACTCGATCCCGACACCTCAACCTCGCTGGATCACTAGCCTGGCGCTTTGGCCAGCTCGCCCACCGCGCCCCCGCAGGGATTAAGATTACCGTGCGTATTTGTCTCGTACACAAAGCCGGAAATAGCAATCAGCTGTGCACACGTTTCCCCGCGAACAAGTTCAAACATGCACAATAATATAACGGGACGAATTCTGACGCAGTCATCAGTAAAATATAATACAGAATACCGTTATTTAACCCAAAGAAATATATCCTAGCATTATGTAATTTTAGTTACAGTTTTTGCTCTATAAATTAATTAAGATTACCGTGCGTATTTGTCTCGTACACAAAGCCGGAAATAGCAATCAGCTGTGCACACGTTTCCCTGCGAACAAGTTCAAACATGCACAATAATATAACGGGATGAATTCTATTGATTGAATACTATCATTTAACCCAAAGAAATATATCCTAGCATTGTGTAATAGTTTTTATGTAAAAAATATATAATCAACTCTAAGGTTATACGGACCATCATGAACGTGGTAAGCACGTGACATGGAACGAGGCGGTGATCAGTTTGTGATTGTTGAATGGGGTAAAATAAGCAAGCCAGTTTGTTGCTACAATAAATATGATATTTAGAGAAGCAAAATATATTATGCATTTTCTGTCAACTACACTTCGTTTCGATCCGTGAGTAGACACAATATATATGACAGTGAATTCTTTGAATAATGTGGATCGACTTACAGTATGAGGAGGACAGTGACACGGAATTTGATGGGTTTCGGCCGATGACTTGTGAAAATCTCAGATCTCTTTTGCAGAAATGTCAGTGTTTATTGTTAGTGGACTATTTTTCTTATTTTCATATATATATAGATGAAATATGGACACTTAAATAATATATTTTGAAACAAAAGTTGACTTCAGTTTTTCTTTACCGATGGTACTTTTTCTCTCCATACTCACCGATTTCACAAAATGGCGTCTCGTTGTTGATGCAAGCAGTGATCGTCGGGATATAAAAAGGAACACAAACACATGTTGCCACAATACACCGGTAATCTTTATTATGTAATATTCTCACCAACACTTACGCTGTATATCCACTTTCCAAATGGCGTCTCGTTGTTGATGCAAGCAGTGATCGTTAAAAAAAGGTAAACAAACACCGGTAATCTTTATTATGTAATATTCTCGTAATGGTGTCTCATCGTTGATGGAACATACTTACCAGGTACTCTGGTCTCTGTTGGCCGCGACCCATCGCGGGGGGTCGGCCTGTCCATGAGAGATATGATTTTGACACTGATTTTGAGGGTCAAGTTTGGGGGGTCGGCTTATCCATGGGGTCGGCTTATAGACGGTCATATACGGTACTAAGAGGATTGGGTTGTCAGGTTTATTGACTTGGCTGTCACATGTCATTGTGTCCCAGTTGCGTAGATTGATGCTCATGGTGTAGATCAGTGGATTGTCTGGTTGCCATGCTGCGGGAATAATGCTGATTAAACAACAAGCAAACGTATGAACCTTGCACGTATCAGAATTGCAGGCCTTAAACTAAACATGTTAAACAACAAACACTTGAGTTTATATGAAGTCTGATTGAAACATAAACAGTGGAGTTTGTGCAATGTGTGGTGTGTGTTCATGGAACTTGAGTTCCTTGCCTTTGCTTTAAGAAACAGAACTTGTGCCAGTATTTTATCAGGATATAAACATACTTCTACCCCTTGCTCTCTTGACAGTATCGACCCGTGAAGATCCGGGACAGAATAGGTCTTCAGCAACCCATGCTTGCCACAAAAGGCACCTATGCTTGTCGTAAGAGGCGACTAACGGGATCGGGTGGTCAGGCTCGCTGACTTGGTTGACACATGTCATCGGTTCTCAATTGCGCAGATCAATGCTCATGCTGTTGATAACTGGATTGTCTGGTCCAGACTCAATTATTTACAGACCGCCGCCATATAGCTGGAATATTGTTGAGTGCGGCGTAAAAACTAAACTCACTCACTTGACAGTATCATTAGGTGATACAAAGTACTATTGCTATTGCACAGATTCCTTTTTATGCTGTTGTTATAATCGCACTGGTTGAAAGGGTGAAACTGAAAAGCAATATTTTATGCTATGCTGTCTTCTGATTAAATTATAATGCTCCAACTTCACTCACTCACTCACTCACTCACTCACTCCAAGCAATTAGAGAACAAGCATGGTCTTAAGTAAGAGCTTTGTTAATGAAAGACCTATTTCTCTGCAGACTGGACCTGTATCGGAAGATTCCGAAGGACCTGACCCAGCCCACCTCAACAGGTGCTCTCATCTCTGTGTGTTCCGTCCTCTTCATCACCTTCCTGTTCTGCTCCGAGCTGCTGCTCTTCATCAACACAGAGGTGTAAGTACTTAGGTGTGAATGTGATATAACTCATTGAACTTGTTGGTTGTGAGAAACATTAATCTGGGTTCTTTTTCACAAAGCAATAGTAATGCCGCTACTGTCAAAAGTCTGTGATATAGGTATAGGAATTGAGATGGTCATAACTTTGTGAAATGACATCCAGAATGAATGGTTCATGTGCCATATTTCATTTCAAGGGGTACTGGGGTAGCCTAGTGGATAAAGTGTTCGCTCGTGGCGCCAAAGACCCGGGTTCGATTCCCCACATGGGTACGATGTGTGAAGCCCATTTCTGGTGTCCTCCACCATGATATTGCTGGAATATTGTTGAAAGAGGCGTAAGGCCACACTCGCACTCTTTCAAAACTTTCAAGGAGTTTAAAACAGATCATCTTTATGGACATTGAAAATAAAAATCAATTTCTGAGTCTGGTTTTGCATGAAAATAAGGTAACCACCCCTTACAAAATGGCCAACATCAATGCATATGGAGTCTAAATAATTGCAAATTAAGCCTATAAATATATTAAAATTGATATCAACATTTATAAATTTAGAAACACTTAGAATCAGATACAATACCAAGGCACCATAAGTTTCAGTAGCCACTGCTCGGTGTTTCAGTATCAGCGAGCTGAGTGTTGAGGACCCTGTCCAGCACTCTGAGAAGATCCCTGTCTTTATCAACATCTCCCTCTACAAGATGGAGTGCCAGTGTGAGTACATCGTCATGAACGGTGCTGGATGTACAGCATTCGTCACTGAGGGGTGGTGGTGAGGCTAGCTACAGCAGTGTACAAAATTCAGTGTCCTTTGGTTTGTTGCTAGTATTTTAGAATCTTAGAGCCCCAATTTGTGTTACTTTTATCACTAGTTTTAGAACAAGGACCCTCAACTTGCATGCTTAGCTCTCTTAAAAAACAACCCATGTTAGGATTCAGGGCTAGACATGTCCCTAGCAGGCCAAGGCTTTGTGACTGGGTCGTTAGAATAGAATAGAATAATACTTTAATGCCTTTTCAGGAATTTGTGTTACATCAGCAGAGCTACTGACACATTAGAGAGATACCAAACATATTTACATAAATTCTTTGATTTAGGTATCTTCACATTTGTTTAAGAGAGATATGGTACTTGGAATAAAGGATGTACGGGCTCTCTTAGTTTTCACAATTGGAACTTATGTAGCGGCGGCCTGAGGGGAGGAGGTTGTATTCCGAATTTAAGTAGTGAGTACGGTCAGATATGATTTTGACAGCTTGATTCACGATTTGCCGCTCATATATTGATGATAAACATTCAAATCTGACTCCAGCGATTTTACTTGCAGTGTTAACAATTTTGTCTATTTTAGATTTGAGATGAACTGAGAGAGACCCATACCAACAATGGAAGGAAAATGTTAAAATACTCTGAATAAATGCTACATAAAAAGATGACATCACAGATGGGTTAACATTAAAAGATCTCAGTTTACGCATGAGATGAAGATGTTGTTGACACTTTTTGTATAGGACTTCAGTGTTAGTGTCCTCATATCCCTGTGCGAGGGTTGTTGCTCACAATATCGCACATTTGATGGTCTGGTCTGGTCTGGTCTGGTCTGTTTCTTAAAATTGCTGTTGAGTCAGAATTAACAACCAACACATGTGGCTATTGTTGAGGCTGTCCCATTTGTGTCTTGGTTGTAATCTACGTTGTATGTTGAATAACCAAGATGTGCATTTAAGACTCAGTTTATATTGATATGCGCCATTTTAGATAAAATAAGTTTTACAGATTCATAGATATGTTTGCACCCTACCATTTCCTCCTGCTTGCAATCACAGAGTGTCCCTTTAAATCCAGTTTCTGCTTCTACACTCTGAGGTGAAGACAGCATCCAGCTCCATTTAATCTTGCGTGCTTTTAAGAGTGTAGTATCCTGCTGGTTTGACAAGTTCCTTGTGGATATATTTGTAGATATTGGGTTGGACATTCAAGATGACATGGGGCGTCACGAGGTCGGCTTCAAGGACAACACACAGAAGTTTCCCTTAGGTGCTGGTGGTGAGGGCTGCAGGTTCGAGTCCTTCTTCCTCATCAATAAGGTAATGTAGTCCATTCATCTATGTGTTCACCATGCTGCTGCTGGGTTACAATTGGTCTTCAGTAACCCATGCTTGTCGTGATAGGTTACTAATGGGATTGGATGACTTACTGACTTGGTTGACACATGTCAGGTTGACACATGTCATCGTATCCCAGCTGCATAGATCTATTCTCATATTGATCACTGGATTGTCTGGTCCAGACTTGATTATTCAGACTTCCACCATATCCTTGAAAACGGTATAAGAAGCTATACCAAAACGTTGCTATTGCAAATATAAGGAAGTTTATCATCCATAAAGTTTTGTCATCTCTATACCACCAACTTCTAGAATGCCACTCAAACAAATGCCACCATATAGCTGAAATGTTGCAAAGTGTGGCATTAAACAACAAACAAACAATAGTTGATTGTGTGTCACTGTGACCCAGTAGTGTGGATTGTTGTGCTTTGACCATTTGTTTTCTTCACAACAAATATTAAGAAATGCTATTAATCCTATGACATAATTTCCTTGCTGTCCAGATCCCAGGCAACTTCCACGTCTCCACCCACTCCTCAGCAGCCCAGCCTCAGAACCCTGACATGAACCACAGGGTACACAAGCTACGGTTCGGGATGGAGATGGAGGAAGGGAAGGTGGGTCACAACACTGTGTGTGTGGTATCCTCCCATTTGTTACACATGCCAATTGTTACATACCCCAATACACATAAGGTCACAGACCCATGCACACACCTATTACCTATTAGTGAAGAATGGGATAGTCCATACTCGTTACAGACATAGAAAGAGAAGGCAACACAATTGATTAGCACTAAATATCATTTCATTGATATCATCTGCATTTGTTTGCAAATCCTTGTATATGAAGTTCATCATTCTTCTGTCATATTGTATACTTGTTGTAGAGGAGTCCAGCCATGGTTAATGTGCAAGGTTATTAGGTGAATAATGATAAACATATAAAATGTGCAAGGGTCATCCCCAGCCATTATAGTAAATGATGTATTTTCTCAATATAGTTGAGTTAACTCGACTAAATAGTTAATCCTGCCTTGAGAAGATGAAATCATCTAGAGATAGATACAACTGAATGTACATATTAAATGCTAACTATAAAAATATCTTTAATCAAACAAACATTTCTTGAGTAAAAAAACATCAAAACTGCTTGCTCTTAATCCCTCTGATCCATTTGCCAGTTTGGGCTAGTCCATTAATGTTGTAGGTATAGCAGTAATTAACCCCCAACCTGACTCTGTAACAACTGGCATGTGTAACAAATGGGAGACAACCTTGTGGGGGGGGACCACCCTCATTCTCTCATCTTCTTATCATCATCTCTAATCAGTATGAGGGGCGGTGGGGTAGCCTAGTGGTCAAAGCGTTCACTTGTCACGCCGAAGACCCGGGTTCGAATCCCCACATGGGTACAATGTGTGAAGCCCATTTCTGGTGTCCCCCGCCGTGACGTTGCTGGAATATTGCTAAAAGCGGCGTAAAACCAAACTCAGTCAGTCTAATCAGTATGGATGCAGGTCATTGGCCCTAACAGCTTGAGTTACATTGCAGCCAGTTGCAGTCTTTCAAGTACACATTAATACTATTGTTTCTGAATTACATTACATAAAGTATAAACATAGCCAAATGTCTAGCATACTGTTAACAAAGGACTTAAGTATATTATGTTTCTGTATAGTGGAATGTACATCATGGTACATAGTAGGGTTTACCATCACCTGCAAAACTAGGGGTCTCAGTTACTAATTTCAAGGGCCATACTGGAAATATGAGGGTCCTGTGAAGTAATGGAAGTTGTGAAGCCTACTTCACTGTAAGATTTTATGATAACTTTGGATACAGGACCTTAATTCTTCTGGTAAAGAATTTGGTGAATATCATTGTGTTCTCCAGGATGAAATATGTATTTTGCTCTCTTGTACTTTATCCCCGTGAAGATCTGGGTAGAATAGGTCTTCAGCAACCTATGCTTGCCACAAAAGGCAACTATGCTTGTCGTAAGAGGCGACTAACAGGATCGGGTAGTCAGGCTGGCTGACTTGGTTAACACGTCATCGGTTCCCAGTTGCGCAGATCGATGCTCATGCTGTTGATCACTGGATTGTCTGGTCCAGACTCCATTATTTACATACCGCCGCAATATAGCTGGAATATTGCTGAGTGCGGCGTAAAACTAAACTCATTCACTCACTCACTCTTCTACTTTATATAAAGCTCCACATACAAAGAAGTTCATATCTCTGCTACAATGTGTTTCAGACTGTTCCCCATAAAGATGGGGAACATAAAGATTTAGAATATAGACTAAATGCAAGTGATATTTAGGTGTGACATTTCCTTAGATCTTACCTGTTTCATCTCAATTTCAGACAGTAAAGGGCTCTTTCAACTCTTTAGAGGAAGTGGACAAGTCTAAAGCTAATCGTAAGTTCCTGATGTGTGGGGTAGCACCTTTATGTCGTCAGTTCGTAAGTTTTGCAAAGGTGGTAAGCGTGAAATAACTGCACCACTTCTTACTTTACTTCCACAATCTTGACATGCTCTTATGACTGGAATTTTGTTGCAAGTGGTGTAAACCAATGCCACCCTCTCATTGCAGTCATTCGCATAGAAATCAGCTGATTCCTGAACATTGTTCATTTAAAATAATCTGCATTACCAATTTATGTAGTTATGGTGTCGTGCCGGGAAGGCTAAAATTTAATTTTCAGATGGCCCGGGAAGGCTGAAATGTATATTTCCGACCCTGGGAGAGCTAATTTCCATTTAAAACAATCTGCATTACCAATTTATGTAGTTATGGTGTCGTGCCGGGAAGGTTAAAATTTAATTTTCAGATGGCCCGGGAAGGCTAAAATGTATATTTCGGATTTCATGGGAGAGCTAAATTCCAAGGGAGTAGGGGAGTACCGCCAAAGCTAAAGGTACGGTGCCGGGAAGCATAATCCATGTCGGGAGTAGATAGATTTCTTTTCAAAACATTGTTATAGTATTCGATTCATTTATTACTGTTATCTGTACACGGGTTGATAATATTTTTATAAATTGCACATTTCGATGAGTTGGACAGCTCATTAAAGATAAACTGAATAGCCTGATCATTTTTTCTTTGTTTTAAAACTGTTAGATAATCTAGTGGTAATTCTTGCCTTAACTATATTTCACTTAATCCAATGTTTGACAAAATACTTTTAACCTGATACGTCAAATTTTTGACACCACGGGTCTCCACCTCCTCATGCAAATACTCATAACAACCCCGTAAAACGCTATTTTCAGACATAAGAAGCTTACACCAATATTTCATCATGCTTTATTTCAGAAATACAGTTCGCTCTACCACCATGTATAGTGTAATAAAACACACTTTCGCCCTGAACTATTATGACATCAAAGCACTCGGACGTACTTTCGCCCTGAACTATTATGGTTAAAGCACGTGGACCCTTGCGTCCGAGTGCTTTGACGTCATAATAGTTCAGGGCGAAAGTGTGTTTTATTACACTATACATGGTGGTAGAGCGAACTGTATTTCTTTTCAAAGATGCCAAATTTAATACTTTCAAAGGATAATTACGATTAATTTAAGGCAGAAAACAAACGACGGTGTCGGTGACCTAAATTAAGAATCCTCGCACAGGGCTAACTGGCGTGCTATTCTATTGATGTCTCTCTCTCTCTCTCTCTCTCTCTCTCTCTCTCTCTCTCTCTCCCTCCCTCTCCTCTCCTCTCCCTCTCCCTCTCCTCCCTCCCCCCAACACACACACGTTAAGACAAACGTTACCAGCCAGAAAAACAAATGATAAACAGTTTGATGACGGATTACGTTCGGATTAAATATCTTCTCTAAATTATTTTCATTACATCTGTGATTAATGTAAACCATGTGAACGTCGCATTTCTACTACCAACGTATGTTTAGATCAGTACATCCAGACGAAGCTGAGTAGTCAAGCGACATTCCACGATTGCATTGTGGGAATGTAAACATTGCGAACGTTACCGTGTCGCTAAACGTCAAAAAACATAAACGTTATCTTTCCACCAGTGATGTTAGGTGAGTGAAGCAACTGCAAACCAAGAAACGGGATGCAACGCAGTAGTTTACTGTAGGAGGCGATGACAACTGACATGCATCGTGACGTCGCTTACATTGTGACGTAGTGTAAAATGGTTCTATTACGAGGGGGCACACTAGAATGGCGCAGTGACGGGATAACGTCATTCAATTGTATGTCATCAAAAAGCTATACCTTTATTGTCTGATAATGTATTTTTGTTTTTATTGTTCTAACCGCTAGGCATCTTAGAATGCCTTTTGATTACGAGCGGATAACGACCTAACTCGGCATAAACCATGGAATTACAAGTTGATTTCTTAACTCCAAACAACCTTTTACAAAAATCCAAATGCAACCTTTCAATATTTAAGCCTTTATTATATGCCCATATCTCAGACGCATAAGATAGCATACTACCAACATAACAATCAAAGATAAAAAAGAGATTCCAGGTTGAGAGAGAGCAACCTGATATTATTGCAAATTAAAAAAGGGGCCTTCCTACCCTGGTCAGACAACTGAAGCTGTGCCTTTGAGAATCGGTTATCATAATTAAAAACTATTCCGAAATGTGTAAACATATCAACAACCCCAGGACACAACCATTATATATAACCAATGTTCTGACGATTTAAATTTACCAACTCTTCTGAAGACCATTATCTTTGTTTTAGCAATATTTACTTCAAGTTCCCACCGTCTGGAATAAGCTGACAACGAATTCAACTGTGTTTGCAACCTTTCAACAGATTCAGAAAATATTACATGATCATCAGCATACATAACCAGAAATATATTTAAAGATTTAAACTCGTAAGGTATACATTTATCTTTTAGGAAAGACTCCTCATTTATCTTTTAGGAAAGACTCCTAAAAGTGAACTATCTAATGTCGAATTAAGGAAAATGTGTAATGAAGAATAGACGTGAAAATGTGTAAATAACTTTATATATATTTTTATAGGTGCCCAAATTAAAGAGCATCCCCGTTAATCCTGTTTTCTTTGTAATTTGCCAGAGCCTCCGAGTGAGGCGCGCTGTGTTCTTTCAGCCATAACATTGCCTTGCAAGTACCGCGAAGGCTACGCTCATTGAACCTTCCCGGCCATGAACCAACCAAACTACAGATTATGTTAATGTAGTATTGACTGGTTCCCATCTATAATGAAATCTTAAATTGGATGATGATTAAAAATGAAATCATGATTGTGGAACAGTGACACTTTGTGTACCCAGCAGTAATCAAGAAGAAGGTTCTGATTGTCAGGGTCTGGGTTAATGGGTGGTTCCATGTATCTGATACCTTGTTGTTTCTGTTCCAGCGTTATCAATCAATCTTGTCCTGGTTCGACTACATCTTGTCTGGTTGGGTTAATTGGGTGGTTCCATGTATCTGATACCATGTTGTTTCTGTTCCAGCCCTATCAACCCACGACTACATCTTGAGAGTGGTGCCTACTGTGTATGAAGATATACAAGGCACTGCCAGATACCCTTACCAATATACATACTCCTATAGGGTAGGTCACAGAACATTATCAGGGCTCGAAAAATTAAAATATCTGCACTCGCCTTGTACTGGTAGGGCGAGTAACACGAACTTCCACTCGTCCTTCTAAAATTGTACTTTCCCTATAGATCATGCATCAAAATGAATAACCATTTAAATTATTTTATTTCAAAATGTTTGCTTGGAATAAAACTACAATAAACATTACTTACTTTGTCTTCTGTACAAAATCTTTGACAAAATTGAATTCATTCACCATTTAAGATAGCTGAACTTCAAGGAAAAAGAAAAATGTTACATTTGGGTCAGAAAACGTACTCGTCCTCTAGGACGAGCAAATTATGTTTTTCACTTGCCCGAAACAAATTTTTACTGGTCAATAGGAGCGAACGAGTGGAATTTTCGAACCCTGATTATTATACCCAGGACTTGGCCAAGCAGGGAATGCTACAAGCTTCATATGTTAAGTAAATGTTACAGGGATATTGCATTGTGTTCTCTAGGGCTGCAATGAATAAACTATGAGGTGAATACAATATGTTTCACAAAAATAGGGTAATGGATATGAATATATATTCATGAATACTTTAATAATGTCAAGGAAAGCAAAAAAAGCAATACACTGTGACAATGCCATTTGTAGCCTAATGACCGTACTAGTCAGGGCGACCCGTGAAGGTCCGGGTTAGAATTGGCCTTCAGTAACCCATGTTTGACGTAAGAGGCGACTAACGGGATCGTGTGGTCAGGCTCGCTGACTTGGTTGACACATGTTCCCAACTGTGCAGATCGATGCTCCTGCTGTTGATCACTGGATTGTTTACAGACTGCTGCCGTATAGCTGGAATATTGCTGAGTGTAGCGTAAAACTAAACTCACTCACTAGTAAGGGCCTTGGAAAAATGACACAAGGTCATGCTACTGTATGGTTAGTGAATATTCCACTTGCATATCACTCTTTGATAAATAAAAGACAAGTTCCAAGTGAAAAACACTCATTATAAAAAACTATTTGATTCAGGTGACCAGGAATAATGAATTGAATTCATGATGGGGTGCAGCTCGATTCACCGAATACAAGAATACGTGAATCGTAACTGGACTAACATTCTCACCTAGCGTGATACAAGTTTATACTAACTGGCATCATATTGTACCTGCAGGATATAGTACAGTATCATCATGGTGGTGCAGCGGTTCCAGCCATCTGGTTCCGATACGACCTTAGCCCCATCACTGTCCGGCACAAGGAGAAGCGCAAGCCTTTCTATACATTCCTGACAACAGTGAGTGGAAAGTCTCTTGTTCTCTTTGTTATAGCATGAGTGGACCAGAGTGCCCTTGTACAAAGCAATCTTAGAGCTAAGCTGTAACTCCCGTACCTTAACATATCTTAACATAAACTTAATGTAGTCTTAGAGCTATGGTGGTTTCGTGGTGATGATGATTTTAAGAAGGGATCACCCATTTTGTTCTGGGGAGGAAGGGGGTCATCAATTTTGTACACATGTACTAGGTGGTGGGTCAACAATTTTTGAACAAAAGAGGGGGGTGTGTGTTCTTAATTTGTTCATAAATTTTTGGGGGGGGGGCTGTTCAGAGTGTACATGCTTCATGTTTCTCCTTAATAATCATTACCACCCCCTAGCCATCAATTTTGAACAGCCTCTTATTGTGAATGTGTTTGCTATGTAGCCTCTGATATGGAATCTTGCAGGGATGTGAGGAAGGTTGGTTCCAAGCAGCCTAGTCTTATTGTTCGAAGCAATGGAATGTATAGGGTGCTTTATTAGGGGTGGGTATTGCAGAGAATTTTCATATTGCAATATATTGCGATGCGAAAGCATGTATTGCGATATGTATTGCAATATATTACATGAAGTATTTTTAAACAAAAAACTACATAACTTATAATCGCGAGGTAATGCTGGATTTATAGAGCAAATACACAGCAAAATCACTATGCTTGATTAAGCTTTAATAACAACTTTTATTCATGATTAAAAATAAAAATGTGAATAATATTTGGCACAAATGAAAAAAGGAAATATCCGAAGATTTCCGAGTGTTACGAAGTTTTCCAAATTCAAGTCAAAATACCAGTTTTCGATCAGCGTATCGCAATACGTATCGTTTTCATGTCTGAACCGGTAAATACCGGTAAACCGGTTATATTGCGCAGCCCTATGCTTTATCCTGTGTCATTTTAGATGTACAGATCATTGATCTCAATATCAATTAAAGATTATCTGATCTGGATTATTTAACAACTGCCACCGTATAGATGGACTATTGCTCAGTGTGGCTGCAATATTTCAGCTCTGTGTTTTATGGACAAAAAACATCCTTGTATTTGTTTCTGTTTCAGGTATGTGCCATTGTTGGAGGAACGTTCACAGTTGCTGGAATCATAGACTCATTAATCTATACTGCTTATGAAGTTTTCCGAAAGGCCGAGCTTGGTAAACTGAGCTGATTGGCTGGTTGTGAGAATCATCATCATCATCATCACCATGTCGCCACGTCGCAACATTCCATAGTCTGTACAGCTGGTGGGGGAAGAGGATTAGCAGTGAACACTGTAGTCAAGGTCAAGGCTAACCAGGATTTAGTTGGGCTCCCTAAAATAGCTTTTATTTTTGGGGTTCGTTTATTAGGGAAATACATCTTTATTATTGTTTCTGAGCATTGTAGCCATACCTTTGTTTGTTTTGAGTTGCCTCAATAGATATGTAACAGTCAGAAATATGATCTGCGTCATCTATGGTCCTGGAAGTGACAGTATGATTGATCTTCAACCTTGATTGTGTTATTCAACAGTGTGTTTTAAAGTGTTATATTTGGAATTTCGTTACGTGTTTTTGGGTATTTTTTGACAATAATTGTAACCTAATAACCAACTGTGTCTTTTAACAACTTCTTTTAAACGTAAATTCATATGTATGAATATGAAAATTTTATTACGGACAAAATTGAGACTCAAAGTCATTGTTCTTTGTCAAAGTAAACAGTTACTTATAAGTGTTCTGCTGGGATTAGATCATGTTCAAAATGGTGAAGAGGACTAAAAAGAGGACTTTTTTTTAGATATTCTGGTTTTTAACAATTTTTCTCAATAGTAACTTTGTATGTTTCAGATCAAATATGGCTTTTGTTAGCTCCTTATGTGAAAAATCTTAATCTTTTGTAAACATCTTAATCTTATGTAAATAGTTCATATTCGTTTCAAGTTTATACTCAATTTATTTCCAAAGAACATGTATGGTTTAGACATAAGAGATGTTACTATGAAGCGTCTAGAGTGGGATGTTGAGAAATACCTCAGGATACTTTCAAATCAAAGCTATCTTTAATACAAATTAGTTCAGTTGTTTAAGATATTAGAACATCTAAAGTTTTGTCCACTGTTATCCATTAGAAATATTGTTTTAGCTGCATGGATTTCACAGTTACTCATTAGGAAGGCAATATATTTATTTAGTCAATGTAAAATCAATGTAAAAGAAATCTTGTATTTTCGCATATTCATTTTGTTAGAATGGCAAAAAGACTTAGAACAGCTTGGTAGCTATGTATCAAGTATTGAATATAGTAATGGTGGAGGTAGCTACCAGTGCTGGGTGTATACTGTGGTAGTACTGTTGGGTATGAGGCTGGTCTGATGACAGTATTGTCACATGTGAAGTATCAAGCAGTATGATTCACTTTATCAGGTTGCAGTACTATCCATTAGTGGTGGTCCGATTAATTGAAATAATCAAAGATGGTCGCAATAACTATGCAATCGATCATGTTTTGTCATAATTGAACACAAACAATTTTGGAACACTTGTTTTCATTAATAGTATTTTACACAAGGTTGGTTTTGTCTGTTACATTTTATAAGCACTACAAGCTTGTTCCAAGTCAGGATTGAATTTATCTTTGAGACTCCAGGAACTTTATGTTCCTAACATACTAGTCATCCTTTAAAGATGTAAAATTTTCAAATGCATTTTGTGCAATTTGCAAAAAAATCGAAAGAACTACGTTTTTCTTTATTTTTGTGCATTAACAAACATAACCAGGAAAATTTGATAAATTACGCTAACCAATTATTTTCAATGATTGATCGGTTGTGATGAACCAATCATCACTTATGAGATGTTAACCCACACTACTATCCATGAGATCTCGACTCTTACGAAGTCATTTTTCCCCATGAGAATGGGTGAAGACCCAACATGTTTAGCAGACATGCTTGATACAATACCCAACAGTCTCACCTCGGACAGGACTCTTTGCAGCCCAGAATAAACATGAAAAGTTTCACTTGATGACTATGGAGATCCTTATCATTCATGCACATTGTAGTGTACTGTTACATGCTACCATTAAACAAAATGTCGCTATAAACAAATACTGCAGTCAATTGTTATAGCCTGAGTGACCCAAGAAGATCCTGGGTTTAGAATTGATCTTCAGTAACCCATGCTGGTGAGGTAGCCTAGTGGTCAAAGCATTCGCTGGTCACACTGAAGACCCAGGTTCGATATGGATAAACTGTGTTTTTGCATAAAAATACCTAATTAATTAACCATTACACAATTATTTTGTTACTTGATCCCAAATACATATGAAGAATTACAAAACCTAAACATGTAGTTATGTGTAATTAAAGAGTATTTCCTTGTTATAGGGGGTGGTGGGGTAGCTGAGTGGCGCTCGTCATGCCCAAGACCAGGGTTTGATTTCCTACATGTGTACAATGTGTGAAGCCCAATTTCTGGTGTCCCCTGCCGTGATATTGCTGGAATATTGCTAAAAGCAGCGTGAAACTACACTCACTCACTCAGTTGGACTGATATGAACTGATATATACAAGTTAAAGAACATCCTCAATTTGAAGGTTGTGTGTTTACATTGTCTTTATGATATGAGAGTCCTGTCGGTAGTTGAGTGATCTTTAATGTTTGGTTAGTACAGTGGAAGTTGTCAAAACCGGCATCTGTCCAATCCAGCAAGTTGTCAACATCGGTATAAAATCTCAGTCCCGTCCATGGCTAGTACATTTATCATCATTTAAAAGCTCTGCAACCCGGCAGCTGTGATTTCCGGATCTTGGCATGAAATGAGCCGGACGAATATGTGTTTATACAGTAATCAGCTGTCTAATCCGGCGCGTGGCAAGGAGTCAGTAATCCTGTGTTGAAACTACATGGTTGCCGACAAAGATAATTTAATCTTAGTTCAGTATGGGTGTACTTGTACATGTAATTAATGAGTTGAGAGAGAAATTGAGAGAACCACCTTATACAACAATGTATATGAGAGTGATAAAACTAGTTTAGTTCTGTACAATCAGACACGCTGTCGAAACCGGATTATTTTTTCAGTCCTGACGTGTGCCGGTTTAGACAGCTTCCACTGTATATTTACTGTAGGTTCACAAACCCAACTGTCTCTACTATACTTGTGTTTGTTGTACATTAAGTATACTACTCAAAAGAAATTATGGACTACCTAATTCTTTCATACCTTGGCTTGATGAATATTGTAATATGAATGAATGGGGTTGTGCTTAATTCCTGTTGAGTGGTATTTATTCAGTAGGATTAATGTGTACATTATGACACACAGTTTAAAAAATATCCAGTCATAGAGGTTGCATGATCATATATTTTCTACATCATATGTTGTGTTTTAACACTAAAACAACTAATTGTCTTCTGTGCTGAATATGCAGATAATTCTGAGAGGTGAAACAATATCATGCTTGTTGACATGAGAGGTCAGAAATGTGCCATTTAACCTCTGACTCAGTTTGACCCCAGCTTTCTTACTTTCCTAAAATGATCACAAACTTGTAAAACTAAACTCACTCACTTACTACTGACTGAGTTTGTTTTTACGCCGCTTTTAGAAATATTCCAGCAACATCACGGCGGGGGACACCAGAAATGGGCTTCACACATTGTACCCATGTGGGGAATCGAACCTGGATCGTTGGTGTGACGAGTGAACGCTTTAGCCACTAGGCTACCCCACCACCCCTCACTCACTTACTATGTGTCTACTACTAATGGAACATGAGATGTTAGGAGTATCATGATTTTTGACTTGATAACATTTGTTGTCATGATGTGTTGTTTCAGTTAACTCAAACAGTAGCATTCCTCTATATCTCAAAGTCTGGCCAGATTTGGTAAACATTTAACCAGCATAGAATCATAATGGAAGAAAAGTCCAAAATTGTAGTCCACACATTTAATTTCCATGAAGATGAGACGTGTAATTTGAATAAAACATATTTTTTTTATTTGTATAATAATGGAATTTGTTTAAATACACATGTGCATTTTGTGAAAGTATCACACTTGATCTTTCTCCAATTTGAGTGAAAATATTCAGTTCTTTCTTTAACTTTTAAATGAACATAGATCATATGACAACATTAACCTGTTCCTGTCACATGACCTGGTCACATGACATGTTACCGAACTAGAAGCCAGAATACAAGAGTCCAGCTGTGAGGAGCATGTAACTGTTGCAAGGTTGTGTTGGATATAATGGATATATTACATGTTAATACATATGAAAATGTACTTATATTGGATGGTGTACATGAGCAAATATATTTGTATTTATATAACACATATATTGAGGTGTTTAAATTCTGTTTCATGTTTTCAGCCTAGTCTAACTGCAACACATAAAAATGTCAGTCTAAGTAAGTAAACTTACAAAACGGGACTTACAAAACGGTCTTTGTATTTTCTCTTCCATGGTCGCTGACACTGATCTATGAACAAACGAAAATCTGCATAAATATGCAGATATTTGACCTGCAGTATATACGCTTATGGGTTTCTAATGACATGGTTACTATTTGCTTATATTTTTGCAAGATGACTTCCTTGAATATTGACAAAAACACTATTTTCAGCGACTGTTTTCTCATTGCGTGTATCACTCGGAAGCGATTGTGCAGAAAATAGCATTCGGAATCATTCGAGGTAAAGGTTCAAACGGTTTGTGCGAATGTTAATTTTCGCGATTTGGTAAGTTGTGTTCTGATTGGTCAGTCCAAAAGGTTAGCTGACGCGACCTTCTACTAGGTTTTGTTAGACTCAGTATAGCAGTGTGACGAATAATACGGAGCCTAAGTTTACTTAGACTGATAAAAATGTATTCACAATATATGTCTTAAGCCAGAGACTAATATATGTGTGTTCACAGTTTGAAAAAAATGCAAACCACCCCACTGTGATTTATGACAATCCATGTAAGAAACAAAGTTATTTTTCTTTCAATTATTTGAAGAAAATATGTTTACAGTCTCACTGTCAGGATTAAGGGACCAACTATTTAATATTGGGTGAGGCTTACATTTTGTAAGATGTTTCTATCTACATATTTTCTGAGCTAAAACCACAAAACCAGATATTTTTTTGATAAATTATCTGAGCCCCAAATATTTTGAAAAATATGAGTCCTGCACAAGTCTATTTTTGTGGCAGACAGTTTCTGTTTTTCAGGAGCCCAATTTTTACTTTTCAAAAAAATTCCAGGCACACAAATGGTCGACATTGTGATTGGTATGTATGTTGGTGTCAAGTGAACAGTGGTATCGTTGAGATGAGTACATTGTTATCTGTTAATAGCCAGCTTGTTGGCCATTGTAAGTTTATATAAGATGATTTATTTTAATTTTTATTGTGTAATTGTTTCCAGCAAGGCTGTAATAGACGTATTTTGCAGATCTCCCAACTACCCCCACCCTACAACCCTGCTCCTACACTTGCCTTGCTTTAATGTTTGATAAATATTACTCAACATTTTCTAAGGAGCATATCGGTAATAGTCATCAGCAGTGAAAGGCATGACCCTTATCAAATGTTGAAAAGTTTAGTACAGAACCCGTGAAAGTTGTATTTGCAAAATATCAGTCTTCCATGTTAACATGATTTACGTTTTTGATTATAGCTGACCTGTCAGTATTGAAGGTAATGTGCAGTACGTGTTGTGGGATGGGTGTGAAAACACTTGTTCATCTGTCTGCCTAAAGGGGTGAGGGGCTAGCCTAGTGGTTAAAGCGTTCGCTCGTCACGCTGAAGATCTAGTTTCGATTCCCACATGTGTACAATGTGTGAAGCCCATTCCTGGTGTCCCCTGCCATGATATTGCTGGAATATTGCTAAAATTGGTGTAAAACTATACTCAATCACTGTCTGCCTAAAATACAGGTGCTAAGGCATCATTGACAGAGCAACACAATCAATGCAGCTTTCCTAAGCCTCATCCCACCAAGCATCCTGTTTGGGGTCAAGCTGAGCTGAGATGGTCTGTAGGTCTGTGAGCACCATACTTGTGGTCAGGTCTCCACCAGATTAGAGAATGTCCAAGACCTGCGTTACTTCAGGATTTCCTCCAATAGGAAACTGACATGGAGTGAAGTGACTGAAAGATCTACTCAAACAGCATTTGACTATCTCTGTGCGTGCATGACGAGAGAGAGGTGCGACGGGTGGCCTAGTGTTTAAGGTGTTACCTCGTCATGCCGAAGACCCTGGTTCGATCCCCCACATGGGTACAATGTGTGAAGCCCATTTCTGGTGTCCCCCTCTGTGATATTGCTGGAATATTGCTAAAAGCGGTGAAAAACTAAATTCACTCTGTCACTGGGAACTAACAATGTCTGTTCCTGTCGTTTATGGAAACAATAACTATAACATTAATCAGGTTGGCAGTTTCATGTTAATTACATCAGACTGATGCAGGGGACTGGATATTAATTAATTATTAGTTTAATTAGTGGACTACCTTGTCCTTGTCTCAGGAGATCACGTTGTTTGTTCACGGATGAAGGGTATGTCTGTCTCGAAAGGAATCTCATTACTTAATAACATTTAAGATCATGAATATGTTGATTGGTTGTTCATCTTGAACTTTTCAGATTCTTTGTACAAACATTTTTCTGTTTGGCTGCATGTTTGTTTGTTATATTTTGTTAAGTGTTATTGAAAAGTTTCTGTACCTGTGGTATCAATTGACAAGAATAGTTAACAAGTGGAGCTATTGCTTGTAGATATAATGCAGGGATACATCTCGAACTGGTTACAGAGTGATACTTAGTCCTAAGAGTCTGCAGAATATGTCAGCGAAACTTCACAGTTTAGATTTAAACATTTTTCAGTTCATGCTGTCAGATTTGTTAACAATGTCAAGGCTTTGTAAGGTGATTTGCATCACTCTGGTAACAGGACCAGTTTTGTGTTTGATGTTTTGATTGTTTACATTTTTTCTTTGTATGCTATGTTAATATTCAGTTTTAAAATACCTCTAACTTCCCAAAGTCCTAAATTTCAACAAAATAACTTTTCTTACAGTGTCCCTGCCAAGGGCTTTTAGTTTGGAATTCTAGATAGACAAGGGCTACCATTATCGCAAACGTAAGAACATTACGAATGATGTATACAGTGAAGCCTCGTTAATCCGGACGGTTGCGTTTCTCAGCAAATTCGTCCGGGATTGCGAATAGTCCGGACTTTGTATTAGGAACAATGTACCTTTTTGTTCAATGTGTAAGCTAAGGACACTCATTTTGGAATACTGCATTCATGTACCAACTACACACTGGCAGACTAAGCTTTGCGTAGTAAATTGTATCATCAGTTTAATCACATAATCAAATTAATGCTTTAGATTTTCATTGCTAGTCATTTATTAAAGGGCGATTGCTGGATATACTCCTCAGTGTAGACCCAATATTAGTCTTAGCCTGGCTGTTGGATGAGTTAAGATTAAGATATGGTATCTGTGCCATTGGGTTGATCATTGGTTGGAACAGATACACAAGACTGGTGCTAGATTGAGTAGAATCTATTTTCCCATGGCTGCCTATTTCATCGAGTCTGAACCCTCTTTCACATAAACATGATGAAATTGGTCATTGCTGCACCTTGCCGTGAAAACACTTTTATGTTGTTAGTGTCATTATGTTTTTTTACACTTTTATAGTGCCATGCTTAAGTGTATGTTTGTACATGGGTGTATACTAAGAAAGGGAAATATGAAATCTGGGCCTTTAACAAAGTGGGGTGGTGGGGTAGCCTGTGGTTAAAGCGTCCGTTCATCATGCCGAAGACCCGGGTTCGATTCCCCACATGGGTACAATGTGTGAAGCCCATTTCTGGTCTCCCTGCCGTGATATTGCTGGAATACTGCTAAAAGCGGTGTAAAACCAAACTCATTCACTCACTTTAACAAAGGTGAAGAAAATTGGAAAAACAAATTTTATAAGACATTGTTGAGACGTGATTAGATCGCCACATTGGGCAAGAATTGTTTCTGTATAAGGCGTTTAAGTAAACATACCGAAGGTACAGAAGCAAAAAATCCGAAAAAAGACATAATATACATTTTCCCTGCTGTTTGTAGAATAATAATTTCCTGCACCCAAATCATAAAAAGTTCATTTCTGTGTTCCTTATTCAATTATATTAACTGTTCTATGAACACCTAATGACAGATCAGATTATCTCTCCACATTCCAAAACATCTTAAATTTGACAATGTCAAGGCAAACTGTACTCTTGAATAAAGAAAACTATTTTTCATTCTTTTCAGTGATGTTTGACACCTTTCAGAATTTATTATATTTCATTTTAACAATTACGTTATGTGTCAGTATTTATGTAAAATGCTTGTTGTATAATTTGAAATGTGTAGGTTTTCCATTGCTAAGCATGGAAGCACATCTGTATATTTGGAGATGTTGATGTTGATACTGAAGTGTTCAATACTTGTTGTTTGTCTACTTTCAAGAAGATAGAAACCTGATAATCAGGTCAAACTTTATGAATGCCAGACTCTCAAAGTTTTATCTTTGCCACAATTTGGGGAAAAGTTCTAATTTTTTTCAGTAACTCTTTGCATGTGTTCCTGGAAGGTTTCATGGACCTATATTACTGACGAGAGGCATGACAGACTGCTGCTACTGTTTCTATCATTGTTTTAGAATGTCAATATTTTCTAAAAATATTTTCATGAATAAACACTTTTTTGTTGAAATGTGTATAGCTTTTTTATTTTGGTGTTCATAATGTATACGCGAAGTAAGAGAAGACCTGATTCTTTCATTTAACTATAGTAATATGGATTGGTTGTGTGTTCTTTGACTTGTATCCTCGGTTCTGGAGGTTAGTTGTTATGTTTACTTGGCCATAACACTTTGAGCCTATACTAGTCGCATTATAGATAAGCATTGTTATTATTGCTAGTCGACACCATTCTGGTCTATGTGCGACTCTAGACTGGTTCTTGACTGACATCAATGAAAAAGGTTCTATCTTGTTATTCATGGTAGTGGGGTAACCTATAGTCTGTTTGTTAAACAACTTTTATCCTAACATGTATAAAAGTTTGAGATTTAAATGTTCATTTGGCAAGGTAAAATTATGAGGATTCGCAATCTTAATTTCACTTAATTTGATTTACTTTTTTGTTTAAAGTGAAATTCATCAGTACGTTTTCACTGCAAACAGAGTATAGTGGTTAAAGCATTCACTTGTCACGCTGAATGCCTGGATTGGATTCCCCACATGGGTACAATGTGTGAAGCCCATATCTGGTGTTATTGCTGGAATGTTGCTAAAAGCAGGGTAACAAGAAGACAAAGTCATCAATATCCCCTGCAATGGCAAAATACTCTTCATGATTATGTTTACGAGTTATGATTATGTCAAATATTTAGGTGTGTATATAGAAAAGTGGAAGGAGAGTATTCACCAATTTCAGTCTATGTCGAACTTGTTGCCATGGAAATGCCAAAAATATTTTATTCAGAAATCCAAAACTACCAAAAGGCACCAGTACACCACCAGATCTATGTATGTGCCAAGTTTGGTGAAGAAACATTCAACGGTTTTAGAGTTCTGCTCGGAAAAGTGCACTACCACTAATTTCTGTTTTAGTCAAACTTGTTGCCATGGAAATGCCACAAATATTTTATTCAGAATTCCAAAATTACCAAAAAGGAACCAGTACACCACCAGACCAATCTATGTGTCAAGTTTGGTGAAGAAATAGTGAACGGTTTTAGAGTTCTGCTCCGGAAAAGAACACAACCACCAATTTCAGTCTAAGTCAAACTTGTTGCAATGGAAACGCCAAAAATATTTTAATCAGAATTCCAAAAGTACTAAAAGCCAGTACACCACCAGATCTATGTATGTGCCAAGTTTGGTGAAGAAATATTGAATGCTTTTAGAGTTCTGCTCCAGAAAAGACAAATGTGCACGGACGGAGTCCATTTTAATACCCCCCGCAAAACGCGTTGCGGGGGATAAAAAAATAAACCAGCACTCTTCAGGGTGGAGCTGAAGCCAGTTGTTTGGAGTGAATGTGAATGATAAAGATAAATAGTGTGTATGTTAGTTTCAGATTGAATTAATAACTACACGACACATGATTTAACACAACAAATACTTTATTAAGGCTGGCTTCTTTTACAAGGTCCCCAAAACCCTCAGTATATACAATAACACAAACACATATTACCAGTACTATTTTCTGAGACATATCCTCCAATATTTTTGCTGTGTTGTGGAATACTGGGTAAAAAAGTATATATAATCAAGTTATAATTATTCATTCACAATTGTCTCCCTTCGAATTTGACTGACAAAACACTTGTAACAGGAAAGTGATTTTTTTGACAGTTGTAATCTCCCTTGTAACCGTGACAACAATATGGGGACCACTGACCATGCTAAATATCTAATTCAGTAGATCCACAGATACATCAGTGCCAGTCACTGTCGAACGCTTTCAGTGCCCAGTATAACACAATATAGACAGAAATGTATGTTGCAATACAAACTTTTGTCAATAGACAACCCTTAGGGACCGCTTCAAAACTTGGCTGTCGGATAAAAATTGTAATAACTTCTCAAGTTTTTAAGTTTAGGGAGGGGTATTAATGGCCCTGGAAGTCCTCTAAAATCAACTTATCTTATTTCTCAGTGTTTCATACAATAACTAAAATTGACCAAAATCCCTTCTTATTTATACTACATTAGATCATTATTCAAACTGTGAACATTGAAATACTTGTCATTTCCTTTTCTAGACATTCCAGACTTTTGTTAATGTTATATCAAAACATATGAAAAAGTACAATAATATATTTGTCATTCACCATGACAGTATGTTTGTGAGTAGTAAAAAGAATTTAGCATTTCCAGAATAAAGTTTTGGGTGGGAGAGGAGGTGTCGCAAAACTTAAGGAATTCAGTTTTTTATCCTATTGAACTTTTGAACTGGTCCCTAAGTAAGACTACAGATGAGGTAGAATGTCTGTCACACAATATATTGTCTCTGGAACTTAGTGATGTTTTTCAACCTATCCTAAACACATCATCCCAGGATAATCTCCCACCTAGTCACGCCCACATCAACATGTTGCCATGTGTCCCTCCATCATCAAAACGGCAACTCTGTACGATCGTAAGTGAGGTATTTCCCAGAGTCCTTCATTGTGAGACTAGTTATGACATTCATGAGACAGTTCACCGAGTGCTCCACAGTGAACAAGTTCGGGACGCCCTTGTGGTACGGGCGGGACAAGTCTGTGTCCACAGTCCCAGGGTGCAACGCCACACAGATCACCTTGTTGCGACCTCTGCCAAGTTCAATGCTGAGATTCTTAGTGGCCATGTTCAGGGCAGCTTTAGACATCCGGTAGCTGTACCAACCTCCAAGACCTGAAGACGGAAACAAAATCCCTAAGTTAGTAAAGTAATGACATCAGCATTGTCACCAGGAAGTCGTTTTGAATTTGAATCGAGTTAAAGAAAACATGAATTGGCATTTGTGTAAACACACAATAATTATTTACAGACCACTATTATATACCTGAAAAAAACCCAGACAGACTGACACACACACACACACAAATATTTCATGTAAAGGATGGTGGCCAAGACCGACAAACAGATTTCAAGTTAAAGTATGTGAAGAGGAATGTTACTACCTACCATTATCAGTTATGGATCCAACCTTGGCTGACATGTTGACCAGGACAGCCGAATGTCTGGCTTTAGGCTCTGCTGCTTGCACCCCGAACACACCAACCCCCTTAGCAAGGAGGGGACTGAAGTACTTGGTCATCAGGGTCGGCCCCAAAGCATTGGTCATCATTGAGACCGACAGCCCCTGGCAGCAAGGAATTCTTATGGTGAATATTGGTGAATAATGGACAATGTGTTTGTTAGACAATAAAACGTAACCTGCATCACCACATACCCACCTCTTTCATATTTGACAAGGGCGGTGGTGTAGCCTGTTGGTCAAACGGGTTCGATTCCCCACATGGGTACAATGTGTGAAGCCCATTTCTGGTGTCCCCGCCATGATGTTGCTGGAATATTGCTAAAAGCTGCATAAAGCTAAACTCACTCACTCACTCATATTTGACAGAATGCTATTTCAGAGAAAGTGCAATTCAATTACATGAAGCAGTCATAAAATATAGAATTAGAACTTAAATTCCCATCAAAGCCATTCAAAATATAAAATAAATTTGTCAAAGTGTAGAGCAACTATGAAATGCAACAAAATAAAAAAATATAAGATACAAAAAGAAATTGATTTTAAAAGACTCTCCTGAATGCCACTATTACCTCTGAAGATACATCCTTGAGACTTGTTTCCCCACGCCCTGATGGATGCAGCATACCTGCGGAGTTGATGAGGAGATCCAGTCTGTCTGTTTCTTCTGCAATTGTGCGTGATGTTTTCTCTATATCACCCTCACGTGTAATGTCTAGCTGGTGGATGCGGAGCTGGTTCGGGTATTGTTGGGACAGCTTTTGAAGATCTGTTGCAGAGTCTGGGGATCGACATGTTGCTATGACAACAGAGTCTGGACCACGGGCAAGCAAGGTACGACAGAACTGCAGTCCGATTCCGCGACTAGCACCTTGGACAAGTGATATGGTTGCCATGGTTTAGTACATATCCAGCTTGAAGAATCTAGGGACAAAAAGAAACTAAATTATTATCAATAAGTGACATTTAGTCCCTGAAAATACACTACTCTAAAGGAAGTAAGGACCATGACAAGTCAGACAACTACAGTAGCAATACTAACATAAAAAAATCAGGTGAACCCTAACCCTAAAATGGAAACCTTTGAGTATAGTCTAGTATCTGAACTTTGACAAGCAGCCGCTGGGAGAGTGTGGTATTGCAAAATTCCTTGTATTAAAGTGCTTATGGCAATGTATGTTCATAATGACAATTCAGCGTGCCCATTTCTGTAACATTCAGTCAATGATAAATGAACTTCCACACATGTAAACTTGTAAATTGGAACAGTTTTCCTCAGACAGAATATGAAATAACCTATGTTACTTTTCATTGAAAAGTATTTGGATTCTTCTGGTTGACAAACAGGTCCAAGGGTCCCAACAGAAAGGGAACACCCTTGTCAAAATGCCAAACAAAAGTCAACACACAACTTAGTCAAAATGGCCACACTGACCCTTTTCTTATAAGTTATGTAATACTTTGAGCTGTTTAATTACTCTCGCAATGTTTTCTTAATTAATACTTTTAGATGTAAATATCAAAACCCTATGATCATTGGGTAGTGTTTTGATAACATGACAATAAGTAACCAGGACACCTTTACTGAGGGCTCTTCACCACACTCCCATCCCATAGAGCCTGGTAAACTTCAGGAGGCACAAGTGAAGGTAAGATGTTTATCATCCTCCACAGTAGTCAAGCAAGCGATATACTACGTTGTTTTTGCAACAATTAATGAGCGGTGTGTCCAGTTGCATCCATTTTATTCCTGACATATTTGAGAGAGTGCGTGTCGATGCCCCTGCAACAAAAACACGATTCTGAACACTTTCACTTGCCTGTAAAATGACCGACTTGATTTGTCTGGTTTATGTAAGCAACACATGGCATTGTTGACGGAAGTGACGTTCGCGGAGACCGACCAATCAATAGGGAGGTAACAAAATAGACCAATCAGAACACTTGTTAGATTTGTTTGAACATGGCGCTGATTTTGACTACGGTAAATTTGCTTTCTTAACTGTTCATGTTGTTTACGATGCCGTCTACTCACCAACACGATCTCTTGACCTTTTTAGCTATAAATCCCCAAATGACCAATGCAATATAGTACCAGGCAGGGTTAGGTGATCATGTTTTGTTTGAGTTGTTTTTCATGAATGATCGGTGTACAAATAGACTAGTATCATGATTCATACACGTCTTGAAGTTGAAATAGGATATAATATTGATACTTCCTATTGATGTCACACGTTCAGCGTTCTCCCCGGATTTTAAAATAACACATTTATGCAAAATCTCCTTACTTGTTGAGAAATAATAACGATACAAGAGCCATGCTCTGCATTTATCTCCTTGAACATTAACAACATCTACAGGTCCTGATGTAAACATGGAAAAACATGGATTTCATGGCTGAATAAACAGAACAATGCTGATGAAAACCGTTTGTTTATTAACTAGTTACATGTGTATCATAGTGTATAATATAATCAATATATGTTCTTGAAAAACTGCTTTGTCTCCGGAAGGCCATATACCTTTCATACATGCCAGTTGAGTTAGTGAATATTTTCCTTAAGATCAGTTTGTCTGCTGTGTGTCAGAATGGTGTATGTAATACAGGATTACGGTCAACTCATTCACACATTAAGTCGCTACCTCATTGACTTGTTTTCATAATTGTTTATCTAATTAATTTGAATTAGCTTTATATTAGCTTAATGAGACTTGTTATCTGATCATTAATTTCTCATGTTTTGACTGACAACTATGAAAACAGAGTTGGCTGGGCATAAATGTATTGGCTAAACCGTTTACAGATTTGCTGGTCCACGATAAAATGCTTATTATTATATTCGACAGGTGATCTGTACACTGCTAAAAATATAAAGTCATTTGATTGGGAACTGACATTATTGAGTATAGGAGAATGTTCTGGTTGAAGTTACACTGTAATACAGGGACCATGTGCACATAGCAAACTTAGCGTAAGGCGGTCTTAAGATCACTTTGTGCAATTGGCCTCTGCCCTACATGACCATGGACTAAAGAAGTAATTGAATGATATTGATAAGCTGATCTTAATCTGTATATTGAATTACTCAGCTTTAACCACAAAAACTGTTGTCTTACAATCAGAAATGGTGATGTCAATTGCTTTTTCTTTACTAGTGAAATATGGGGCGGAAGGACAAGTCAGTACTGACATATGGCCGTCATAGGAACCGTGTGATGGCCACAGATGTCTGGAGCTCTGATGAAGACAAGAAGAAGCATGTGTTTAGTTTCAGCTCAGGGGGGTCCATCAACCTGTCCTCTGCAGACAGTGATGTGTCCATATTTGATTTGTCAAAGAAAGAAACAGTGACCAAAAAGAAAACCTCGTAAATATATATTTTTCATTTTCTGAGTTTTAGTCATGATAGCTAGGCTCAATAATCCTTATGATTTTGTACAGGTTGTAAATATTCCAAAATATTTTTTGTGTAAATCAGTATTCATTTAGCGTGAGTCATGTTAAGATGTTTGAGTAGGTTTTGGAGGAAAATAGTTATACTTATCCTTTTCATGTTTTACAATTTGTGTATGATTTGAGCATGTTCAATCATGTCAAAGTAGCCTTTATATGTATTTACCTCTTTGTTATCCATAGTTATTACTAGTATGTGACTTTTTCGTAAAGTTGGAAATGATTTATTAATCTTTGTAGATATGCATAATCTTATTTTTCTTTTGAATCAAATTAAAGTTTAGGAAAATGGAAAGAAATACAAATATTCAGACTATTGCTTTTGTCTTTGGTAGTGTTTCAGTCTCACTAAAACATAAAAGCAGTTTATGAATAATGTATACTGCCATTTGTCCATCACATTGTCAAACCCTGTAAATGGACGTTGTATTTTTGTGAAGAGACTGCTTGTATTCTCCTTATGTGTATGTGATTGTTATGCAGTGCCAAGAATACCAAGAACACCAAGAACTCCATCACCTGCAAAACAAAGGGGGGTAAATAAGGAGAACCGTTACAACAGGAAAAATGGTGGAAATAAAAAGGGGAAAAAATTTACTGTTTTCTCAGAAACAGAAAAGGTACGTAAATACTTTCTTAAATGCTACATGCAGCATATACTGCCTATTCAGGGTTCAAAATGTACTTGTATTATATTGCTAATGTGGGGCAGTGGGGTAGCCTAGTGGTTAGAGCGTTCGCTCGTCATGCCGAAGACCCGGGTTCGATTCCCCACATGGATACAATGTGTGAAGCCCATTTCTGGTGTCCCCTGCCGTGATATTGCTGGAATATTGCTAAAAGCGGTGTAAAACCATACTCACTCACTCACTATTGCTAATGTGCACAGTTAAAATTGTTTTGTCATACTAATAAGATCTGGGGCCTCAACATACCAGGCACACATAAAAGTGTTATTATACTTGCACAAGTGTTTTGGCCAAACTCATAAATAATGAATATGTTAGCATTGATTGACATACTCAGTGAAACACATTCTTCTCATTGGTACATATAAACATCTTAATTAGCTTAACTAAAGGAAAAGGGGCACTGGTTGTCCTGTTGTCTATGTCACTGTAATTCGTTGTCACGTTCCATCACTTTACGATGCCTTTGATCTTTGGCTCGAATCTCTGTCCTTATTATGTTTTTTGGTTGGTGAGCACCATACTAATGTTCATGTGTTTCACTAAAGGGATAACATCTGAGATTTGCATCACTTCAGGTTTTCCTCCCATATAAAGCTGACATGCTGTGCAATAGGGCTGCAGTGATTTGGTCCGATTCATCGAAAATCAAATCTTGACACCTTAGTTTCAATTTTCGATAACCATATCACTATTTCGATACAATATTTGAATACCTATTTAAATTATTTGCACATAAGAACGTAATTTTGACTCCAACTCGAGCAGTTTCGAGCACTGAAATAAAGCGAAACGTGATTGGTTGACGCCGGGCTAATTATCCAATAAGAATTGTTGTTAGTAGACATCGCCAGGTTGACGATGGATTTCACGCTGAAAAAGTTGACTCTGAAAGTTAAATAAAATTTGATGTTTTATTTGTATGAAGAATCGAATCGACAGTCCAATATAAAAAATCGAATTGAAGTCGAGGCGAATCGTTTCAGCCCTACTGTGCAATAACTAGAATGCTGTTTAAAGCAGCTTTAAAACCAACTCACTTGAATAAAATCTGGGGACCAAATGGATTAGGTGGCCAGGCTCAATGACTTGGTTGATTTATGTCCTCATATCCCAGGTGTGTGCTCATTATGTCAATCACTGATTTGCCAGACTGGTACAGACTGCTGTTATATAGCTGTAAAATGCTGAGTGCAGCGTTAATAACTAACATGAAGTCATTATAAAACTACAGTGTCTGTCTCAGCACTAACCCATTTTGATGGATTTTCAGGAGAGTTGTTCAAGCACAGGAGGAGAAAGTTTAGTGTTTTCAGCCAAGGCTGTGAATCAGAGGATTCTGCGGGACAGAAATGGCCTGACAGATTCCTCTATGTCCACAGGAAGTCCTGCTGTCAGACGACAAACTCGTAAAAACAGACAAAACACAACAAAGAAGAAAAAAGATGATCTTTCATACAACTTCAGCGAGTTTGATGATTACAGTCTCGTTGTTCTGTCTGGAACACCACAAAGTGCCAATAAGAAGCCCACAAACAAAGCCTTGACTTCTGGCATCGAGACAAGCACTCCTTTCCGAGATGCCAGGAAGAACAGTCACATATCGAAGGAGATAAAGGATGCCAATATATCTCTTATTGACCTTGTCGAAGACAGTCCTTTTGTGTCTGATCATCACAGTTTTCAAGACTCGCCACATTCAATGTCCGATATGACGGGTATAACTTCCAGCTATGGTGCCAGCCCATCTTTAGGTGTGTCTGGGAATGGTGCCAAGAGGTCAGTGGAGGATAATCTTTCTGTTGATAAGAACGTGAAGAAGTTGAAGGATGGTGGGGTGAAACTGCTACAGGATAGTATTCAGAACATGCACATATGTGAGCGTTCACGGAGACGTGTTGACCAGGACGATGTGAGCACGACCTCGACTCAGGCCTCATTCCAGCAGTCGCAGAGTCTGTTTGACAGCCCCATGGAGTCAAGGTCATCGCATCTGTCAAGGAACGTGTCAGACTCTAGTAGACAAATTAGTCCCTACAGTTGCGTGGTGCAGCTGCAAAAAATGAGAGATAGCCTATTACGGTCACAGCTAGGTGACAGCAGTTTATCGCCATTAAAGACAAATGTACATAACACACGCTCATTATCGAAAGAACCTGGAGATGTGTTTAGTGGTAGAAAGTTAAGGTCACAAGATGTGGATTTGCCAAGTGAAAATTCCTGCTCTAGAGAGGACTTTGGCTTGGTTGAGGAACAAGAAGAGGAGGAAGTTAGTACTGATTACTCTACAGAAGAGGAGGAAGAAGAAGAGGAGGAGGATCTCAGTGACATCTATGAGGACGAAGAAGATGAAGATGATGATACTTCAGATGCTGATACTTCAGATGCTGATACTTCAGATGATGGGATGGATGAGACAAAATATTCTCTTACGGGTGATGTAGTGAGTGGTGTTTGGACAGGTGAGATGGTGTCAGGGAACTTGTCACAGGTAAAGGAGATGGAGCTGTCCCCTGGATCTCCGCAAGGATTACAGAAGTCAGTGTATTACTCTGCAGAGTCAGACGGATCCTTCTACCGAACTGCTGAGGGATCGAGTGCTGTGCAGCAAGACAAGCCAGGCAAAGACAAGAAGAAAAACAAGCATCTGGAGAAGACTTTCGAGGATGGAAACATGTCAAGGTCATTTGTGGTGAGTTGTTTGTTTCATATCTATTGATCTGGCTAAAAGTATGTTGTGACTGTTGAATAACACACATACTTTGAGTTTTATTTGTGTGTGCAGATGTTTTTCATGTAAAAGGTATCCGAATAAAAGGAATCTCTGGATAGTGTTTGATATAATCACGATCTGACCAAGGATCTCTCTCCATTGGTGTTTACACGATCCACTTTAATTCTGTTTGGTATTTTGTCACACTTTTTAAATGTTAAAAATGTAATCAGTATTTACCCTAAGGTCTGGACCTGCAGAGATCTACTGCTCTGGACCCTGCTCCACAAAGTGATTTTGTCCTGAGAAACTCCTTTAATTCATATAGACTTTCGAGGGTTCCTTCTTAAATGATTTTCTGACTCAAGTCGGCTAAATGTCTGTTGTTACTGTTCAGGAGATGCTGACGCCCAACAAGAAATCACGGTCATCCCCTCCACTATCGCCAAGACGTAAACTATTCCAGATGTGTGAACAGAAGGGGCCCGTAACCTTCCAGGATGTCATCCCTGAAAAGTAAGCTTAGTGACAACAGAACACACAAAACAAATCAAAAGAACCAAGTTTTGCTTCAATCTTATTTAGCGATCAATTTTGCGATGTCTAGTGTAGGAAAATTATTATTAGTGGGTAACTTTTCCTGTCAGGTTGCACCCAGTCCATGGCAACAATTTTACTGGTATAACTTTCCACTATTAAATAAGTGACTGTGTTAAGATTTTAGTCATCCTGTATTGAATCTTCTATCGTGTGTATCAGGTGAACTGATTACCACTACCAGATTACAAAAAGTTTAAAGAGGTCTGTTTATAACATGGTGCAGCCAATATTTTGATGTTGTAACTTGATTAATTCACTTGTTTGCACCTGGTGCAGGTAGTGAAAAAATTGAAATTGTACCATCATTCATCCAATCATTTCACTTTGCATAGTTCTCTGTATTGCTTACCGCCTCCATGGTGTAGTGGTTAGAGCGTCCGCCCAGAGAGCGGAAGGTCACGGGTTCGATCCCCGACCGCGTCATACCAAAACACATTAAAATAAGGTACTTGTTGGTCCCTGCCTGGCGCGCGGCATTAATGGGTACATCAAGGACTGGTCGGCTCGGAGTCAGTATAATGTGTCTGAGTGGGGTATTCATGCTTCACTGCGGCATGGTATCTCAGTGGGCTAGCACTATAAAACCAGCTTCAGTCTGGGCTAGTACAAGCAGCTGCACATACGCATGCACGTCGTCATATGAGCGAAATATTCTCAAGCACGACGTTAAACCCAATTTCACCTCACCTCACCTGTATTGCTAGTTGTAACTTCATCACGTGTGTTATGTTTGATAGAATAGTGGAAAAGACAATGTATCAAAACTAACAACCAGACATCAGCCATTTTCACAAATCAGTGCAGTTAACATATTTGTTGTTACCTCACTGCTCTGAGGAAACAGTGCGTGGTTCATGTGTTAGTGGACTTTACGACAGCAGTGGTCTGTCTAGGATTCCAAACCTAAGTGAAGGGACTTTGTGAAGAATGGTTATTCATCAGAAGCTAGTCCTGATTCAACAAGAAAAAATCTATTATTATATTTACTTTTTCTGTCATTTATTTTTCATGCTTATTCAGTTTCACTCTAACAAAAATGAAGCATGAATTCAGAATTCTATCTGTCAAATGCTACCAGTCAGTGAGGACGACCATCATTGGAATCTTACTTATACTCATTACAAGTTGATTGTCTCAGGATATAGGTCTAGCATGGATGTCAAAAGCTGTTGGTTTAATGACAAGTCATCAATATTCTAGCTACATGAGGGACAGTGGGGTAGCCTAATGGTTATAGCCTCCTCTGGTGACGACAAAAGCTGTTGGTTTAATGACAAGTCATCAATATTCTAGCTACATGAGAGACAGTGGGCTAGCCTAATGGTTATAGCGTCCTCTCGTCATGCCATGGGTTCAAGTCCCAAAATGGGTACAATGTCTGAAGCCCATTCCTGGTGTCCCCTGCCATGATATTGCTGGAATATTGCTAAAAGCGGTGTTAAACCATACTCACTCACTCATTCACTCAAGCTATATGAAGGTGGCAACCAGTGTTTGTTTGTTGTTTAATGCTGCACTCAACGTGGCCACCAGTGACTAAACATGCTGAAAGAACACACCATTCTGAGTGCCTTGACATATAATGAATCAATGCTCAGAGCTTGACACTTAGTCCCGTTACTGTCCCCTTACAGCATAATATACTTAGGGCCCAAAGGATGTGAATGACTATACATGTATTGGCTATGCTAGAGTGAGTGAGTGAGTTGGGTTTTACGCCAGCTTTTAGCAACATTCCAGCAATATCACGGTGGGGGACACCAGAAATGGGCTTCACACATTGTACCCATGTGGGGTATCGAACCCGGGTCTTCGGCATGACGAGCAAACGCTTTAACCACTAGGCTACCCCACCGCCCCTATGCTAGAGATGTATAACTTCTTTCAGCATGATGAAGAAGATGTACTTCGGCCCCAAAGGATGTGAATGACAATACATGTATAGGCTATGCTAGCAATGTATAACTTCTTTCACTTCAGCATGATGAAGAAGATTGTGAAGATTGGTGAGGGGTGTACGGTGAAGTCTTTCGAGCTCATCGCTGTGGGAACTCAGTCGCCATCAAGGTAGGTGTATGTCTTAATGTTCTGGATGTATTTGAAAAATGAAATATTGAACTACAGTAGAATACTTTTATAATGAACACAGATATAACAAACTGACGGCTATAGCGAACTGATTTAAAAGTCCCAAATAAACCTCTGTATATTATCATATAAAAAAGACGTGAATAACGAATTCTCTATAACGAACTTAATGGCAATAGCGAACTGATTTGCAATCCCCGGAGTCCCAGTTAACACTAATTAACGGTGTGAATAACGAACTGAGCGAACTCAATCCGTGTCACTGCCAATAAGCGGTGCTCACTTTGAAATCAGTGTATAGCAAACGAGGTATCATTGCTAAATCATCACAAAGTCAACCCTGACCTCGTCAGTGATTGGTTAACTTCTCAGCTGCCAGGATACCTCGAAAAGTACGAATTTGCCGATTTGAATGAGGCTGTAGCACGTATGCAGTCAGGCCAAGCATGGACAAAGTAAGATCACAGACTTTGTAGTGGAACAATGTCACTGTCGTATGAATGAATAAACTGAGTAGGAGTGAATATGGACTGTACAGTATGTCTTTATTGTTCTTTCAATGGAATTTTGTGAATAGCGAACTACGGATATAACAAACTAATTTCAGTGGTCCTTGGAGTTCGTTATAAAGGTATTTTACTGTATATTAGATTAGTTCTTGCCATGCTTGCTGTTGTAATCACACCATTCTCTGAACCATTGGATTTTCTTCATCAGGTTGTTAATGTTAGACAATGTTTGTGTGTGTTTTCTGCTTATTATGGACGGATGTTTATGTAGATGGTTTGATTGTTGGTTTGTGCTGCTGTTTTACATGTTGTTCCTTCTTCATTCCATGTTCAGTCTGTACCAAAATCATTTGAGTCTATTGCCAGAACATAGCTAGTATTTGGCAAATAGTTATTTTGAGACTATTATGAGCTGAGCTTTCTAGACTAGACAGAAGTGACAGTGTACTAAACTCAGACCAGTGACTAAAACATCATTTGGAGATCTCCATAAGCATGTATGAACATGATATATAATAACTATTTTCAAAATTGTGTCTGCAGAGTTGTTTCACTACTTTTCTACTAGGCAAATGAAGTCTGCAACTTTAGCCATCTGTACTGTAACCGTAGTAACACACCAAATAGACTAGTGCCTCAATCTGTTCTTTATATCAGTTTTGACCACTGTTACTTTCCCTTTTCAGATTATTCCAATCGAAGGCGACTTTGAGGTGAATGATGAACCGCAGAAAACATTCTCTGAGATTCTGCCAGAAGTTGTTATCTCAACGTAAGTCCCCACCAAACAGAATATAAACTATGTCATGACCTGTGAGTAAGTGTAATCCCTGGTCTCTCACCACCTTGTTTGTGCTCATATGCTTCATAAAATGTATGACCTGGCCCCGATTGCTTGAAAGAAACTTAAGTCTGAGTTTTGACTTAAGTTAGAGTTTTTACTCAAATTTGAGAAAATGCATTTCCCAGAATGAACTGAAATTGATATTAAACTCAAACTTAATAGACAATTTGAGTTTGGAGGATAGATTACTTAAGTTGTTTGGGCTTTTTTATTTCAAAAATGCATTTGAGTTAAAACTTCAGCTGTTTCAAATTGTCAAACTCAGTTTGAAATTTGAGTAAAAACTTAAGTTTGCTTTGAGAAATCGGGGCCTGATTATGATCCTTAGTCTGTCAGTGAATACTATAAATGTTTCTGGGTGAAAATGTTTCTGGATAAAAAAAGTCTATCATAATGGAAAAATATTGGCCATGTGTCAGAAATGTGGCATCAAGGGATGTTCAAAGTGGTCTCTTAATCACTGCTTGTAATCCACAGAGAACTTAGCGGCCTCCACATCCAGGGTAGGAATACCACACCCAACTTCTGTCGGGTCAACAGGTGAGTGCCAAGATAGTTACACAGACACTAAGCATACACTCACTGCCACTCACAGTTGGTGCTTGTATAAATCCACAGATAACAAACTCACCTTAAAATCTGAAATTGAAAACTGACCCAACAGAGATAACGCTAATCATGTTTAGTATTGCATGTGTAATTAATGTTGTCAGTGATCCTTATCTTCTTCCATGTTTGTAGTGTGGCGTGTGTGCAAGGCTGCTACCCTGACCAGCTGCTAGCACAGTGGGATATCTACAACAAGAAAAGGAAGTCGGAAAATGATCGACCAGGTGAGAGACTTTCCTGTGCTCATATCCTATTGCTCCTCATCTTCATCTTGTTAATTGCTGATTTTCCATCAGAATCAAACAAATATTTTTGACAACATTCAACTGAAAATATGAAGAAATTGTTTTGGAAAGTTAACAGTTAGTTTATCATGGGTTTTTCACTTTTCTCATTGTTACATCTGGAATGGGCAGAGTTGCCTCCCTTAGCACTGCTTCCTCATGGTTGTTCAAAACCAAATAATTTCCCATTGGGTCTATTATTTTTTTGGAAAATTACCTTAGCCCTCAATAACTGATGCATGTACACATGTACATAGTGTGAACCTAAAACAGCAATACAAATATAAAAAGACAGCACTAGATGGCCAGTTTCAATTACTGGATGACTCTACATTGAATAAACACAAACATAATAATAAAGTAAATATTTGTATAGCGCCAGTTCCAACATATTGCTCAAAGGCGCTTAGGCAAAGGCTATGTTGAACAAGTGGGTTTTCAGTTGTCGTTTAAACTGGTCGAGATTGACAATGTTCTGAATGTGCCGAGGAAGACGGTTCCAGAGACAGGGGCCGGCTTTGGAGAACGATCTATCCCCATGGTGTCTTTTCTTGGTCATAGGAACATCAAGTGCTCTTGATGATCTTGACATGAGATCTCTCCTTGGAGTGTAGGTTGATAGGAGTTCACTGATGTACTCAGGAGCTACACCATGCTTCACCATGCAACCGCCTCCGTGGTGTAGTGGTTAGAGCGGAAGGTCGCGGTTTCGATCCCCGACCGCGTCATAACAAAAGATGTTAAAATATGGGCATTAATGGGTACAACAAGGACTGGTCGGCTCGGAGTCAGTGTAATGTGTCTGAGTGGGGTATTCATACTTCACTGTGGCATGGTATTTCAGTGGGCTAGCACTATAAACCAGCTTCAGTCTGGGCTAGTACAAGCAGCCGCACATACACATACATTCTTTTTATATATTCCTCCTTGGGTACTTATAAGCATTTAAATGTCCATTTAAATTCCCTACTTACAGTTGTAACAATATTTGAATAAAATATTTACAAAACAAAACTACGCTTTGTCTTGTGAGACCACTCTCTTACAGGGCCTTCCGCCCCTACAGCCAAGAGCAGGTAACTCTAGACCGTGAACCTCGTGACTCACTTTCCATGCTGTCGCTAAAAACCGACAAGACGGGTCCATACCAGAAGGTTTTTCCTTGCGACTAAGAGAGTTATGAGTGTTTCAGAAACCGCAACTGTATGTATGGTTCTCTTTTTTCCTGCATGGGCTTAATTGGAGGTTTTTTCTGAATTTTTCATTCATAATTTCTCGTTGTAACTTGGTACCTGTCGCGGGTCGGCTCGCTAGTGCGGTCAAGATGGCGGACAGGTCCCTTCGCTAGCCTTCCTGTTCATTGGTTTCCCATGTGGTTTTTCAATGTTACAGGTGGTTTTAGTGGTTTTTATTTGTATCTTTGTAACGCAGTAGGGCGATGTCTACTGCTCGATTTTCTATATTACGCTAAAACCGTGAATTGTTAGTTATGCTGCAGTGTGTACTAGGTTGTCAACTGCATGCCACGCTTGTCGATTAGTTGTGTCGCCTACGCGCCTTTTACATGTATTTGTATGTGGGTATAGGGTAGATTGCTGCACAGGTTTTTACTTGTTGCAGTTTAAACCCTGTACTTCGCGGCCTTGCTGCAATTCCCGCACGGGATACCCACGAGGTTCGCTTACGCTGTTTAGTGCAGAAGGAACATGAGGAAGAGGGGTGTGCGGCATGTGCCATGTTCTCGCCCCAAACCATTCGGCGAGGCGGATAGACACGCTTGTTTTACAGCAACCTGCTTCGGGCGGGGTGATCTCTGGGCACAGGATCCCCCGGCCCAAGCGCCCCATAGTAAAAAGGGTCCACGGAGCCGCTTCCCACGCCGGAGCCGGGCTCCCAAGAAAGCTAAGGCGCACCAAGGCGGCTTCGCCTTCACGCGACTCATGCCCCTTCTGCATCTCCTACTGCTTCCGCCTCTGTACCCGCACCCCCTCTTGATTCAGCACCTGTAAAAGTGTTCCTGTTGATTCGCTAACCGCTTTTTTCCAGGAGCAGATGTCGCCAGTCAAGTCCCTGATTGATACGGCGCTAGCGGGTTCCGTGAAGGAGCTCAGCTACCGGGTCGCCGGGGCGGGCTGACACATCTGGGGTTATTGCGCCCGAAGCTCGCTCGAGAACGCGCGGCCCCGGGCGGCTTGATCCTGGCTTCGCCCTGGTGATGGCATGCCCTCGGCGCCTGGTGGCGCACCTGGCTTTATGCACTGGTCTGTCACAGGTGCCTGGTGCCGGGCGATACAGGTTTGCCCCTGTCATTGCCTGGTGTCCCGACTGGCGGTCGCCAGGCGCCTCACCAGTTCGGGATACTCGGCGCCTGGCAGCCAGTCAGTCTGGGCTGCCCGGAAGCCTGTTGCGCAGGTTCCTCTCGGCGACTCGGGCCACCTGGCGCTGGTTCCTCCCGCAGGGCGATGTTTTTCCCCTGGCTCCTCTTGACCTTATGAGTTTTTCTGGTCCTGCCTCTGGCGCCTCCTCGGCGCTCTCTCAGGAGTCTGAGATTATGGCGGCCGAGGATTCTGCCGAGGTCGATATGGAGGAGGAGGAAGGGACGGTGGAATCGGAGGCGGAGTGCCGCACTTCCTTTGCCTCGCCACCGCGCAGGTTCGGGATAAGATCGCCAAGTCCTGCCGCAGGTGGCTGTTCCCGCCCCGCACCCGACCCCGCTGGAGTTTCGCCCCGGGAGGCGCGCTCGACCTAACCGGTCGCAGAGGCACGCCACGCATTCTCCCATCACTGGTCAGTGAGGTGGTGAATCCGCCCTGGCTGGTACTCGCCGCCGCTTTGATTTGCCTGACGAGGCAGGCGGTACCAGTTAGGTGAGGAGACGCTTCAACCACCAGTGGTGGACGAAAGCGCCTTTGCCTCAGTCACGCTAGAGGGTCGTTTTCGCCCTCCCTGGCCTCGCCAGGCAGGGCAGGCGCCCCCTTTTCCGCTAGTACGCCACTGCCGCTGAAGTCTGCCTACCGGTCATTCAAGAATGTTACCGTGCGCCGCCCAGCAACTTAAAGTAGCCATCCATTCAGCCTACCTGTTCGCGCTTGCAGGGACAGCTGGTGGCCCACAGCGCTTGGCGGTGCCGATTCATCGGAGTCGGTGCTCGCTGCAGTTAACGGATCGCACTCGCGATCTGGCTCGACAGCATTCGTGCTGTGCCAGCCAGATGATGGGTGCCGCCATGGGCTTGCGCCGCCTGTGGCTGTCTGTGGCGCTGCATTCGCCGCCACACAGCAAGCTCTACTGTCATTGCCCTATACCATGGGATCTTCCCTGTTCCCTGGGGCCTTGCAGGTGGTAAGGGAGGCCGCTGGAGGCTGTCTCTACCTTTAAGGACTCAAAGCCTTTGTTGAGCAGCCCTCCTCCTCCTCGCCATCGGCCCTCCCCGCTATGCCCCCGCTACCCTTCTGCCTCGGGCTAAGGATGTTGTTAAGTGGGCTGCCCCTTTGCAGTCCAAGCGAGCAGGCGACGAGGCAGGGGCAAGCCTGCTCCAGCGCAGCAGTCTTTTCGGGCAAGGGGAAGCCAGCCCCGCTTCCCACTGATTCATTCCCCAGAGCCTTGTTGCCCCCACTCACGCAAGCCGAGACTTGCCGACGGTGGGGTGCACTGCCTCTTGCCACACGCCCCTGTCGGGCGCCGGCTGTCCCTATTCCTCCGGGAGTGGGAGGCAGCCACCTCAAATCCCTGGGTCCTGTCCACGCCAGGGATGGCCATTTGCCACAGTGGAGGCGCCGATCCTCCGGCCCTTTCTCCGGGTTCGCACACGCCTGTGCCGACCCCCCCGCTGACAAGGCGGATGTCCTCCGCGTCGAGGTTCAGTCTTTACTGACCAAGGCGCCATCGAGGTGGTTCCTGTGAGTCAGCGAGAAGAGGGGTTTTATTCCACCTACTTCCTCGCGGACCAAAAGGACGGAGGGTTCAGACCCATTCTGAATCTCAGAGGGCTGAACAAATTACTGGAGGTGCCGCCTTTCAGGATGGAGACACTCAGGTCAGTGATCTCCTCCGCCGAGACAGGGATTGGCTTACGCCAATCGATCTCAAAGACGATACCTCCATGTTCCAATGCACCTCGAATTCAAGAAGTACCTCCGGTTCTCCTTCGACGGACGCGCATACCAGTTTCGCAGGCTCCCCTTCGCATCTCCACGGCGCCAAGGGTGTTCACCAAACTTATGCTAATCCCAGCTCAGTTAGCCAGGTCTCAGGGCAGGTGTTGTCACCCGCATCTGGACGATTGGCTTCTACGGGCCTTAGGGCTCAGTTAAGCAGAGCCTCCACACTGTGTGCTGGATACTCTGGTGTCACTGGGCTGGATTATCAATCTCAAGAAATCAGACCTCGCTCCGACGCAGGATCTGATATTCTTGGGAGCCAGATTCAACACGGCGCTTAGGGATTGTTTCTTGTTCGACCGCATCGCCAAAGTCCGGGACTGTGTTACAGTTCCTCCAGTCCCCCGCTAAGGCCGCCCTAACATGGCTTCGCTGCTCGGCAACATGGGCGCTTACAGTGGACGGGTTTGGCGCGGCGCTGCTTGAGGATGCACCAATTCAGCAAGCATTAGCTCAGCTGTGGTCCCACTCGCAGGGCTACGGTAGATTATGCTCATAACGCCAGAGTGGTTAATCCTCACTTGGCGATGGTGGACGGACGTCGGAATTTGTCCAGGGGATCCCCTCGACACCCTCGACACCTTCCCTTCAGTTCAGACGGACGCCCTCACAGGTTGGGGGTCCTGGCGAAGCACTCAGCCTCCGCCTCTGGTCGGAGCAGGAGGTCAGCCTACACATCAATGTGTTAGAACTGAGAGCAGTCCGCAAGGTGTTCGAAAGTGCTTCCGGTGTTGGTGCAGGGCCGTGGTTCGCTCTAGAAATGGACAATCAAACGCCATGTCTTACATTCTCAAGCAAGGCGGCACAGTGTCTCCGCCGCCCTTCAGGAGGCGTGGCAGTTTCTACTGTGGTGCGATCAGTTCAACATTCGGTTTTGCCTGTTTATCTCCCCGGGTAGACAACGCCCCGCAGATGCTCTCTCACGGGCGATACTAGCCCCACACGAAAGTGGATGCTCGACCGAGATATTCGGATTATCTCCCAGTTGTTCGGTCGTTTCCAGGTGGATCTGTTTGCGCCTGGGGTGACGAACCAGATTCCTGTGTTTTGCTCCCGGATTCGATCCGGTGCGTTAGCCAACGCACGCTTTCAGCTAGATTGACGGACAGGGTACTGTATGCCTCCCGATACCACTGATTTCCAGGGTCCTGTCGCGAGCTGACCGCACAACCAGCTCGGCTACTTGTGCTTCTGGCACCCCTTTGGTCGGCAATAAAGCTGGTTTCCGTAATTTCAGGTTTCTGGCTCAGCCTCCTGTTCTATTACCTTTTCGACCGACCTCCTATCCCAGAACGGAGCGCCCCACCAATCCCAGGATTCAGTGGGTGGCTTGGCCGCTATCAGGGATCGCTTCCATGCGAAGCGAATTCCTGCACCAGTTGCAGACACAATTCTGGCTTCATGGAGGGATTCGACAAACGCTCAATATGAGGATAGATGGGCCTGTTATTCGCTGGTGTGTCAACAGGGGATTCTTGATCCCTTTCTACAGATTTAGTCTGTGTGTTAGAATTCCTCCAGTTCGTTGGAAGCCGGTCTAGCTGCTTCCACTGTTCGGGATATTCTACGGCTATTTCTGGCGCTTCATATTCCTGTTGACGGTGCTCTCTTGGGGCAGCACCTCTTGTACAGCTTTTAGCAGGTGTGGACAGAATCCGTCCGTTGTCCGGACGGATTAGTCCTCGCGGGACTTGTCAATCGCTCTTGATTGGCTGTCCGTCCACTGTTTCACAATCTGTCGGCTCTTTCCCTCCAGCTGTTGACGGAAGACGGGCGCTTTGTGGCGGTGACTTCTGGCAGGCGGGTTGGCGATATTCATGCAATGTCGGCCGATCCCGCTTTACTGTTTTTCACAAAGACAGAGTTAGCATTCGCTGCCTGAGACTTACCGCCCTAAGAAGGATAGTCCCTTCCATGTGACGCTTCTATTGAGCTCCCAGCTTTCACTCAGCCTTCCCTGTCCGGGTACTCTCTACGACGCGCTCACGCCTTAGATGTCCGTAGAAGACACTTCAGGCTTATATCAAACTTAACAAGGGTACCCGTAAGGGTAACCAATTGTTTTGTTGTTATGGCGGGTTCAGGCTGGTCTTCCGCCACCAAGCAGACCATTTCTCGGTGGCTTGTCTCTGCCATACATATGAGTTATACTCAAACAGGGCGATCCCGCCTGTTGGGTTGAAAGCTCATTCGTTAGGGCAGTAGCTACATCGACAGCTTACGCTGCAGCCCTGCCCATTGAGGAGATCTGCTCCGCGGCTATTTGGAGCCGGCCCGAAAGCACGCTCATCCATTATTACCAACTTGACAGACTCTCCAGTGAGCGCTCGGTTCGGGTCAGTCAGTTCTCCAGTGGGCATGGTTCCACCTCTCTAGCCGCATTGAGCTTTCGAGGTTTTAAAACATTATTGTGTGAACCATTATCTGCCAATTTTAACACTGGTGTTGGGTTTTACAAATCTTGTTACATTTTTCCCTTGGTGATGGGTTTTATGTGGTGCTGGTTTTTTATTCCCATGTCTCTTGCTTTCTAACCGAGAAGCTCTAGACTAAACTGCCCTTGGAAACTTTGCTGTTCATATTCGCATTTCGCTTCTGGGTTTATTATGGACCCTTATCTTCACTTCCGAAAGTAGATTACGGGAAGGAGGGAGGGTGTGTCTCGCTCGCTGCATTAGCTGCAGGTTTCGCTGGACAAATTTGCATACGCTTAACCCTGACCCTGGCTCATGCCCCCGCCTGATTGGCTTTGGTGGACACGCGGACCGGTAAGTGTGCCTTTTCTGCTATAATTAGCTTGGGAAATTCCACTTTGTCGGGGTGTTTAAGCAGACAGAATGCCGCCCTGAGATCCGCCTTTAGGAGTCTGTCTTATGCTTATAAGTACCCCAAGGAGGAATATATATAAAAGAATCGAACTAACCTGTAGAGGTTTAAGATTCTTTGAATATATTCCTCCCTGGGTACTACCACCTCCCCTCAAGATTCTGTCTGACTTCGCTCAGCATGGAAAGTGAGGTACGAGGTTACGGTCTAGAGTTACCTGCTCTTGGCTGTAGGGGCCGGAAGGCCCTGTAAGGGTGGTCTCACAAGACAAAACGTAGTTTTGTTTTGTAAATATTTTATTCAAATATTGTTACAACTGTCGAGGGAATTTAAATGGACATTTAAATGCTTATAAGTACCCCAAGGAGGAATATATTCAAAGAATCTTAAACCTCTACAGGTTAGTTGATGACGATACCCGTGTTGTTGAATGTGTTCCAGTTTGTCAACCCATGGCAAGCCAAGAGCGTTCTCCAACAAGTGTGTGTGTCTCTGGCCGTGGCAGAGGAACAGTTAGAGTTTGAGCATCGAGATCTACACATCGGCAATGTCCTCGTACGAAACTACAGCACTGATAACAGCATTGCTTACTGTCTAGCTGATGGCGTTGTTGAGACTGAAAGTCATGGTGTTATGGTCAGCATCATCGACTTCACATTGTCTCGACTCAGGAAGGGTGAGTCCTGGTTTCAAGCAGGAAGAATATGAAGTTTGTCTTATCTCAAAACTCAGCTGCCTACACAAACAGGCGTTGAATCCAGCAAAGCATCAATTCCCCTTCTCTAATCTTGTCTCTGTTTCATTCCATGGAGCTTCAGAATCACCGGTCTGTAACAGGTGAGGTGAGGTGAAATTGGGTTTAACGTCGTGCTTGAGAATATTTTGCTCATATGACGACGTGCATGTGTGTGTATGTGTATGTGCAGCTGCTTGTACTAGCCCAGACTGAAGCTGGTTTTATAGTGCTAGCCCACTGAGATACCATGCCGCAGTGAAGTATGAATACCCCACTCAGACACATTATACTGACTCCGAGCCGACCAGTCCTTGTTGTACCCATTAATGCCCAGCGCCAGGCAGGGACCAACAAGTACCATGTTTTAATGTCTTTTGGTATGACGCGGTCGGGGATCGAACCCGCGACATTCCGCTCTCCGGGCAGACGCTCTAACCACTACACCACGAAGGCAGTCCGGTCTGTAACAAGACTCCAGAAATAGGAATATAAGTACAATGAAATGATCTCATCTTGATTGTCTCTTTCAGACGGCTGTACCGTGTTCTGCGACATATCAAAGGATGACAGTTTGTTTGAAGGCACAGGGGATTACCAGTTCGATATCTACCGGAACATGAAGGAAGAGAACAAGTGAGGCAACCTACATTGTAGCTGAAGTCACCCACATTAACTGTGTTGCACTGAAATATGAGTCTACTGCAGACGAATGGATGTCTCACAATCACACACTGTCTGTCACTCTCATGCTTTCATTCTCTCACTTTTTCTCCACACACTGATTCTTGCTCATTCTCACTCACTCACTCACTCTCACATTCTCAGTTGCATTCTCTTTTTTTATTGTCTTTTATTCAAACTTTCCCATACATTTAGATCATAATAATTGCATTAGTGATATTTGTTCATTGAAACTATGCCTTGTAGCTGTGTTCTGGATACCAACTCTCTACAATACTTTCAATACTCTATCCTTTCAGGAATGAGTGGGAGCCATTCAACCCTCACTCCAACATCCTTTGGCTCCACTACTTGGTGGACAAACTCCTCAAACAAAAAAGATACAAGCGTAACAGTCGGGAAGATCGGGAAGCTATGCGGTACTTGCGTCAGTTCCAGGCCGAGGTTCTTCAGTACACAAGCTCAAAACACCTTGTACTGGAGAGCCACTTCTTCCAGACATGACCATGAAAGTCCTGAACACAAGCTTCACAAGCACCAGCAGTGTGAAATGCTTACCTGAAAATACAGAGGCCTGAAATCAACTGTGAGCAAGATTGACATGAAATAATGAATACAGAAAGGGTCCATTTTCAGGAGAAGTTTTGCCTGATAGATGAGCAGACTCTAGATTCCAGACACATGCTGTCAAAACATGTGCCACATGACCTGTAGGCTCATATAGACAGGTGCTCTGGGGGCTGTCTTGGCTTTGTACAGTTTCATTCCCAAGGTTAAGAGGGTACTTACTGGTCAGGCTCACTGACCTGGTTTATGTATGTCATCACCAATTGAATCCGTGAAGATCCGGGTTAGAATTGATCTTCAGTAACCCATGCTTGTCGTAAGAGGCGACAAACGGGATCGGGTGGTCAGACTCGCTGACTTGGTTGACACATGTCATCGTATACCAATTGCGTAGATTGATACTCATGTTGTTGATCACTGGATTGTCTGGTCCAGACTCGATTATTTACAGACCACCGCCATATAGCTGGTATATAGCTGAGTGCAGTGTAAAACTAAACTCATTCATTCATCACCAATTGGATGTGCATGATGTCAATCACTGGATTGGCCGGTCAAGACTGATTATTTACAGTGTCTTCATATAGCTGTAATATTGCTGTATTCAGCGCTAGACAAAAAGGCCTCATTAGGATACAGTCTAAGCAGAAGGGACCTAAGGCTATGTGGGTGGTGGGGTGACTGATAGGAGTGTACTGTAAGAGTGTCACATTGACTGTCTACATCATAGGCATCTCACCATACAGATCTGTACTTTGTGATGTCGAATAAGTGCTTTAAGTAATTATGGAGAAAATTTGTCACTAAAGATGGTTGTTGTGATATTATTTATGATTTTGTATTATGTATCTAAGTAACTGAACTCAATTCACAAATTACCTTCTATCAGCCAATCAGCATGGATGTTTCTAAATTCTTGGAATGAGTGAAATGTTCAAATGAGCTAATGTCTTGATCTAAAATGCCAGTAAATCGTTATAGACATATCACACTTCCTGTTGTTTCTCAGCACTGTTGCATATTCTCTGAAAAGGAGCATCACCAAAGGACTATTTGTGGTCTGTGTGGATTACACCTAGTGGTTACAGTGTTTGCTTGACACGAAGACCCGGTACGATTCCCCACATGGGTACAATGTGTGAAGCCCATTTCTGGTGTTCCCTGCCATGATATTGCTGGAATATTGCCAAAAGTGGCGTAATACTAAATTCATTCACTCATTTGAAGGCATAAAACATTTTAGAATCAAGGTAAATAGAAGCCTAATTGTTTTAGAAAGCTATCAGCCGATCAGCTCAAGAACACATGAGGCTTCTCATTGATTCGGATTGAAAAGTTCATTCAGGGTTTACCAGACGCCACCTATTAGGGACGTGTCCTTGGATCTTAATGTAGATATTGAAAATGATTTAAAAGAAATGTCACTGCTATCTGTTGAGAGTACACAATGTGGCCACCCAATCAATGTTAATGTCTTGTGTCATCCAAGGATTACTGGAACACATTTAGCACTGAACACATTTCCTGTCCATTGTGCTGTCGTGTAATTCATCACATGTGCATTGATCTCAACATCCTTTATTGCAAGTTAGGACAGTAACAAAAAATGTGGAAGGGAATTCAAATGATAATGACCAACTGTACTACTGATAAGATTATTTTGTGCTAAATACACCTCAGTCAGTATTCACAGGTATGTCTCTGGAAAGATCCATTTTTGTGGAGTAACTGTAAATTTGTAATAAAGTGTATATCTGAATGAAGTCATTGTTTTTCAGTTTTCTTTACAATTTATTTAAAGTGCCAGAATTGGTTTTACCAAGTCTCTTATTTATTTTACTTCACATATATGTTTGTTAGTTTGGAGGTTTTCTTTTTAAACCATTGTTCGGCCCTAATCAAGATTTAATTAATCTTCTGCTCTAATTGGCGCTGGCGGTTTTAAATTGTATTATTCTGTTGGGGATATTTAGCTTGTTACCTGTTGATTCCCATACCCATGAAGATCCCGGTTAGAATTGACTGGGTTAACACAGGCCTTAAACAATAAACCAATAGGGCTGTAAGGATGCATGGAACTAAGATGCATTGCAATTGTTGAGTCACCAATAGCAATTAATCGATGGTAGAAACTAAAAACTATCGATGCGATCGTTTGGGAAAGACTTCCGCCCAAACCCCCCTGTAAATGTCATTCTTGTCAAATCATATCACCTGAATATATATTTCTCATCTGATAAGGATGAGTTTTAACATGTTTCTTCAATTGTATCAGAACATACTGAAAGACATATCAACTTATATAAATGACCCTCAAGGAAATGTTTCCTCATCGTTAAAATTTAGGGGGGATACGGGTGGAAGTGTTACCATAGTTGGTGTGACTATCGATAGTTATTAATTGACTTCTGTTGATAAATGCGCAGATCAAAATACAAGGTGTTTGGGTGCAGGCTTGCAGCTTCGTTGAGTCTATGTTTTAACTGTTAACTTGATCTTGGTTTCGTGTTTCTTGTCACTCATTTCTTGTTTTCATTTCATATATACTATACATTCATTTGGAAAATTACTTCAAATGAGACAATTCAAGGAGAGAAAAAAACCTATTGCAATAGTGGGTCGCAAAAGACTATCGCTAACCCAAGAGTATGTTGCAATAGACTTTCGCTATCCCAATAGTATGTTGCAATAAACGATCGCTATCCCAATAGTATGTTGCAATAGACTGTCGCTATCCCAATAGTATGTTGCAATAAACTATCACTATCCCAATAGTATGTTGCAATAGACTGTCGCTATCCCAATAGTATGTTGCAATAGACTGTCGCTATCCCAATAGTATGTTGCAATAGACTATCGCTATCCCAATAATATGTTGCAATAGACTGTCGCTATCCCAAGAGTATGTTGCAATAGACTTTCGCTATCCCAAGAGTATGTTGCAATAAACTATCGCTATCCCAATAGTATGTTGCAATAGACTGTCGCTATCCCAATAGTATGTTGCAATAAACTATCGCTATCCCAATAGTATGTTGCAATAAACTGTCGCTATCCCAATAGTATGTTGCAATAGGCTATCGCTATCCCAATAGTATGTTGCAATAAACTATCGCTATCCCAATAGTATGTTGCAATAAACAGTCGCTATCCCAATAGTATGTTGCAATAGGCTATCGCTATCCCAATAGTATGTTGCAATAAACTATCGCTATCCCAATAGTATGTTGCAATAAACTGTCGCTATCCCAATAGTATGTTGCAATAAACTATCGCTATCCCAATAGTATGTTGCAATAAACTATCGCTATCCCAATAGTATGTTGCAATAAACTATCGCTATCCCAATAGTATGTTGCAATAAACTATCGCTATCCCAATCGTATGTTGCAATAAACTATCGCTATCCCAATAGTATGTTGCAATAAACTATCGCTATCCCAATAGTACGTTGCAATAGACTATCGCTATCCCAATAGTTGTTTCCCCCTCAATAGTCAACCAATGTTGATTCCCAAGTTGAAACAGCCTAAATCAGAATCAGTCTGAAAAGGACTTGGTGTGAAAAGCAGCAAACTAATATGATATGATTAATACAGTCAAATCCCGATGAGTCGAATCGCTGGGGACCAAGTAATAATATTCGACTTATCGATGTATTCGAGACATATGTATGCCTATGAGGGTAGGAAAAAAGATGATCCAGTCCTAATTCCTCCACCTAAGCATTTGTTTACCTAATGATTTCCCCTATCACTAATAGGGGCACCTTATCAGTTCCAGTCTGATTAGCACAGACAGTGATTTCCGTAAAATCACTAATCTGCCTTTAGAACTCACCTGTCAATGGCGGAAAGGTGTGAGCCGCGCTTTTTTTGTTAATTGGATCAGTTTGCTACACCAATCAACTTCTCATTGACTGACTTCGGCTTATGTATACAATATTGCTGTTGTTTGAATGTCATGGGAACAAATTTCCTTCTCGAGTCATCGTGTGTATTTATGAGACGAATTCGTGTAACCGGAAAACAAATGATGACAACTATAACAGGGAATGGTCGGGACCAACAGGTACTTCGAGTTATGCATAATATTCGAGACACCGGCATTCGACTCATCGGGATTTGACTGTATTTGTATTCTAAAATTTTACAAATTAATACAAATCACTACATAGGTATTGCAGTGGCAGTACAGATTCAAAGACAGTATAAAACAAAAGCAGTGATTACAACAATAAAGACAGACATCGGGACACTCAGCTCCTTGCAATAATGCTGAAGTTTCCAGAAAGCCAAACCTGAGTATCCAGGATAAGAAATATTGTCCACAATTTCTTGTAACTTGAGATGTAATGTGTGATAAGAGGCAATAGCACGTCTAATAGACTCAGGGGCGGATACAGCTTTTTGAGAAAGGGGGGGTGCACACTATTGAGAAAAGGGAGGGTGCACACTTCATTTTCACCCGAGTTTCTATGGTCATTTAATAAACTTTCAGGACAAAAGGGGGGGTGCGCACCCCTGCACCCCCCCCCCCTCTGGATCCGCCTATGAGACTCCAGAAGATTCTCCAGCTCTCTGGGTCACAATATCTTTGAAAGGCCCATAGGTTTGTTGTATCCTGTGATGCCGTCCAAAAAACGAGAAGATCCGGGTTATAATTGGGTCTTCTCTAACCCATGCTTGACGTAAGAGACGACTAACGGGATCTGTGGTCAGACTCACTGCGTGATGCGTTCAACAATCAACTACCTTACAGAACGCTAAATGTAGCACACCACTGCCCCTTCACACGTACAAAGTATTACACATGGAACATTGATACACAATGAATAACACATCCCCCATATATATACCAACCTCATTACTGACTGACTGAGTTTGGTTTTACGCCGCTTTTAGCACTATTCCAGCAACATCACGGCGGGGGACACCAAAAATGGGCTTCACACATTGTGCCCATGTGGGGGTTCGAACCCGGGTCTTCGGCGTGACGAACCAACGCTTTAACCATTAGGCTAACCCACCGCCCCACCAACCTCATTAAGTGATCAGTTTACATATGTTTATTACATAACCCCAACATCGCAATGGCACTCCTGAGTGGGATGGTTGTCAGAATCACACCTGTGCTTCATGGTGTTAAAGTAGTTAAGATCACTGCAAGTTTCCTCACATACGTCTGTATATTTTTAAGAATTTCATTATATAAAAGCCGTTTCACTAAAAGTTATGTTAAAGTCTTCCCATTGAAATGTTTCTAAATTTTATCACGGGCCCTGGCGGAATTTTAAATCTAGGTGACACGGAGGTAGATTTGTGCCAGCATGCACTGA